CATATGTATCAAAATGATTAGCTGATTGTGATTAAGATGATGATGATGATGATGATGAATAAAAATTCAGGAAGATGATATAGGAAGATGAGGAGAACCAAATGGAAAAAGTTCTGAGAGTAAAAAGTAAAATACAAATTCGATGTGTCAATGATTACATTTAGTTTGCATCGCGTTCATTACGTTAATTGATTATGATAATTAACCATAATGATCACGCAACTAAATTATCATCACAATAGAAATGATTATTATGATGATGATAATTTCTCATTGAAGACAAATTGTTTCATTGTTATATTAATGATTATCATCAATAAATAGGAAGATGATTAAAATGATGATCGATTAATTCCTCAAGCAATTTAATAATTAACTAATATTACACAAAATGTGGCTTAATGTGTTTATACATTTAGTTGTATTTTAACAATTAATTGATTAACGGCAATCATATAGATTATTTAATTGTTAATCTTAATCATGATTAAAGGTGTTAAATATTATCAATTGAAATCAATGATCACACCCAAAGGTAGATTTGAATATTCAAACAAATTAAATTGTTAGGGTTTGGTTGAGAATCAGAATTTACAATTAGAAAAAGTTTAAAATAATTAAATACTAATTGTAATTAAACGAAGATGATTAAGTTTACTGATTCTGTTAATCAACTAATAATAATATTCAGTATTAATTGTAAATTAAATTTAATTGTTTAGTTAACTTTTTTTCACTATTAACTCAAAATTTGCACAATTTAATTTAATTTAATTTACTTCAAGTTTTGTATTTACTGAATTGCTAATTTTTTATTAGCTAATTGTTACAATAAAATGCTAATTAAACTAATCATTATTAAATCCACCTTACAATTGAATCAGTGTTGTATTTAAATCAACCACCTCCACCACTTGTTAATTGTTCATGTTATGATTTAATTTAGACAACAATTTAATTGTTCAATCAACTGTTTCCATTAAATTTTTAGGACGAAAAAAGTTTTAAATCAATTGATTTGATTGATTGATTGTTTAATTGTAATTGTAATCATTTTGTTACATTGGCAAACTGATTCAATAGAAAAGTAATCAAGTAATAACAATTAAAAGTTGATTAAACAGTCACACCTTTTGAAAAATTCGTGTAAACAATTAAATGATTTTGATTATTTAACTTAATCAACTTTGATTTTTGAATTACTGTTTCAATGATTAGTTAACTGTTGATGATAATAATGATAAGCAACAGCATGAATTAACCTTGTGATGACAGGCTAAAGATAATCAATTACAACAATCAAGGTTTACAACAATTAACTTAACCAGTAAAATGTATGAGAAAAAAAATAACACCAACAACAATTAAAATATTGATCTTAAATCTGATTTGATTGTAATATCAAAAGTAATCACATACAAAACAAATCATCAGCAATTAACATTCACACAACATTAAATTGTGAAGGTAATAAAACAAAATAATCAAATGATTAACTTGATCATTTAGTTAATTTAGTTTAGTTAACTTTATGTATTAACCTTGTATCACGAAAAATATTAAAACTTTTGGTGTTTTTTCATTGTTTTGCAAACAATTTATCAATGCTCAGGTTAAATTGTTGGCTGATTGTTGGTTTGATATTTTATAAATTGTTGGTTAATATTAACACTTATACAGAAAAAAGCAGCAATTTATTTAATCAATTGTTTGACCATTTGTAAATCATTTGGTTGAAAATAAATGTACTTTTGATTGTTACTGATTAACGTTGATTGTTGAGCACGAATTGTAAATTTCAACTGTTTCTATTGATCACAATCAACTAATTGTAAAAAAAACAAACGTCCAAACGTAATAATATTTACAATCAACTGGGTAAAAAAAAATAACTGGTTAATTGTTGAATTTGAACAAATTGATTAATAAGTTAATTGGATTGCTGTTGTTAAATTTAATGATGAACAATTAAGCAAAATTAATAATCCAGACAATAATTAATATATTCACTCAATATATTGTTAATTATTGATGAAATAATTAAATTTTAACATGATCATTATGATAACAATTGAATTAAGGTAATACAAGTTATATTAGAAACAATTTTAATCACATTTGTAATTTAAAGGTTAATCAATTTAGTGAATCATGTTATCCCTGATTAAATTGATTTCTTAGCCTCAAGATGAGGGATAAATTATGATTCTGATGATATCCGATGGTCATTAATTGTTCAAGAAATCAACAATTAACAATCTAATACATTGGATCGCCATTTAATCATAATAAAAATCATTTTGATTGTAATCATAATTATCAACCTGAGACGTGGTTTGTCACACCTTTTAAAGTGATGATTCATTAAATTGTGTACCTTGATTATTGTGGCTTGAAGCAATTAAATTTAAGATGATTAAGAATAAGAAAATACCAAATTTCATCATTAACTTAATCATTATTGTAAAGGGTTGATTAGTTTGTTGTTGATCACAATTTCTTGCCTCATGTCCAATGTACTAATTGTTTTTAATCATAAAGGTAACAGACCCTTGCAATTTAATTTAGTTAATATTAATTAAAATCAAGCACTTGATTAGGTGAAAATTGTTTTCTCTGGTTAACAACAATTAACTTTTTCCCTCTATGATGTATTGTCTCAACTAGATTGTTTATTAATTGTTATTGATTGGATATCTTCTCACGATTTACCATAATCATTTAATTGTGTGTATCAGATATTGATTGTTGATTAATTGTTACAGTTTGTTTCTGGTTTAAGTCAATTATTATTATTAATTGTGTTCATTTTTTTTCCCAAGAATTGAAAACGTTACAGTTTTCATAAAGTGATGAAAACAAGACAACGATGATTATGATTAAGATAATGATTAAGATGATCTATTATTTGATTCATTTATCCAATCTAATAAGTTGATTGTAAACAAATAAACAACAACAATTATTTATCGTTAATTTAATCATCATCATCTTTACATAATGATTATAAGTAACTTTGTGACATATCCATTTATGAACTTGGTTCATATTGTTTACGATAACATTTACATAACACTTCAACCTTCGACCTCCTGATTAGGATGGAGAGAGGAATAGAGATGATGATGATGATGAACAAGATTTTCTGTAAATTTTGACCTTTCACTTTCTTCCTCCCACTCTCAGGTCACTTCAATCTTCATCCTCTTACTAGAAAAAATCATTGAATACTGAACTGTTTCCCTATTTGTTTACATGACTTTTGACCTCGAAAAGTTTATCAAGAGAGAGAGAGAGAGAGAGAGAGAGTAAAATAAGGTGGTGGATGATAAGGAAGAGGAAGATAATCAATATCCATCTAATTATCTATCAAGATATTGATTCAACGAAATTACCAATAAGATTTTTGTTTTGTTCTGTTTCATTTTTGTTCACCATCAACAAATGAAAATCTGCTCATCATCATTATCACCAATTATAATCATCATGTTGACACTTTCATCTTCATCATTTATCCTCATCTTGCAACCTTCAATTCAATCAATTGTGCATCTCAATAATTAACCATAAATTGAGCGATAATCATTTCGCTATACAATCATTATCAATATTTAACATCATCATCACCATCAGATTCAAACAATTTAGCAACAAAAGGTTAAACTTGAATACGATTTGATTTTAAAAAAAACTGATTTACAATTTAATTCAATTGGATAATAGTAGTAATTGTAATCAAAATTTATCTCTCACTTTCATAAATTATAAATGATTCCTAATGGATTACGATTAACAACAGTTACCATGATAACTGTTAGTTTTTTTATCAGCAAATTATTTGAATTGGTAATGTGATGATAATGATGATAATATGGTTTGGTTAGTTTAGATGAGAGGGAGTATTGTGGTTTTGCCCTTTGATTTTGCAACAGGAAGATAAAGATGATGATAATGATGAAGGAATCAATTGATAAAAAAAGGATGCGATTCAACTGGGATGCTGATGATAAGGATGCCTGAAAGTGTGATGTAAACGGAATCAACAACAAAAGGCAAATCAAAAGGTAGATAATGATGATGAGAGAAAGTAAATTCAAAGCAAATAAAGATTAGAATTACATATGATTTTGGAAGATGATTATGAGATGATAAGGATAAAGAGCAATCAGAAAAAAAGACGATGATGATTGATAATCAGAGGGAAAACTTTTAAATAGATGGAGACTACATCTGTTATATTATTACAATTGATGAAGATAAAGATGATGAGGATGAGGTGTAAAAAGAGAGAGAGAGAGAGATCGAAAAAAAAAACATTTCTATTCATTTTTACTTTTTATCCTCATCCTTTCCGTTTCCTCTTTTGCTTTGACCATGAACAAAGTCCTGTAAATTTTAACTAATCTTTAAGTAGAAGAGAAAATTTTTACTAATTAAAGTTCAATTATTTTGATTATCTTAATCTCAATTTAAATGGTTGATATTTGTCAACATTAATTGTGATACGATCAAAATTTTATTCTCGTACAGTTAAATTGTCAACGGAAGATGGCGCTGATTTTGTCTTCTCATCTCAAAACAATCAACTGATTAGCACAATTAAACAATAAATACAAAATGATTAACAAATGATAAGCAAGAAATTGATTTAATTGGAAAACAATCAAAGATGAATTCATGTAATCGGATGATCAGGCTCAGAATTTTGTTCAGTTCATTTCAACTTCATCTCTCTGAAAGAGACTCTCACTCCTTCTCACAGAAAAGAAAGAGGAAGAGAGAAAGAGAAAAGTGAGCTGGGGGGAAAGAACTGCAATTGGAAAGATATACTTACACATATGAAAGTATTTGAAGAAAAAAAAATCAGAGGGAGAGAAAGAGAAAAAGAGAGAGAAGATGAAATGAAGAAGAAAGAGAGATGAAAGGAAGATGAAAAGAAGATGAAAAAGAGAGAAAGAAAAGTGGGAGGGACTGAGAGTGTCTATTGCTCTTTCAGAACTATAATCAGTTTGCTCTTTGCAGTCAACAAAAGATCTTCATTTGTCTTCATTTCATCTTCATTTCGACTTGTAGAACTTTTTTTTATTTCGAAATAAAACTTTTTCTTCCTCAATTTTATTCACTTCTCATTCGTATCTACATACTAAACATTAAATCTCATCTTCTCATCATCAAGCAAACATAAATTTCTCTCTCAATTCTTCAATCAAATGTATCCTAATCTTCATCTTTAATTGAGACATAATTTATTTCATTTGTGATTTCCCTCGATCATCAATCTCGACAATAATCACCATCGATCACCAATTGAGTTTCGTTTCTATTCCGAAGTCGAATTGAAGAAGAAGAAAAAAAGTGTTCTAATTGTTTCTTGAAATTGTTCTTTTCTCTTTCTCTCTCATTGATTAATTGTGACTTTTTCAAATGCATTCGGGTGTTTATCGACGTAGTTTATCACCGACATCAAGTGGATCTGATGTTGAATCAGATTCTTCTCAGCATTCAGGGCCTAATGATCTCACCACATCAAATCGTTCAAAACAAGGGATAGTGGGAGTTGTAGGAGGAGGAGGAGGTAATAATAATAATATTGGTTCTAATAGTGGTGGTGGTAATGGTTCAGGTAATGGTGGTGGTTCTAATAATGGTTCAAATAATAACCTCGGTTCATCAACATTTCCAACTTATTCATCATTTTATTCACCTACTCATCAATCAGCTGGTTCATTGGGTCAAGGATCACATGGATCAAGTGGATCTCATCATGGATCAGCTTGTTCACCTTTCATAGCAACAAATGAATGTCGGATTATTGAATATCGAGGTGCCCGTTTAGCAGCATTTCTCTCAGCTAATCGGACACCCTGTGAGTATTTACTCTGTTTACCTCAAGCATTTGAACTGTTTCTCAAACATCTCGTCGGTGGATTACACACTGTATACACTAAATTAAAGGTAAGAATTGTTGATATTTTTTTTCAAAACATTCGAATATTCAAAATACTAATACTGATTCGAAAATAACAATAAACAAATTATGCTCGAAAACAGAGATTGGATATTGTTCCAATTGTGTGTAATGTTGAACAAGTTCGTATCCTTCGAGGACTTGGTGCTATTCAACCGGGTGTCAATCGATGTAAACTTTTATCAACCAAAGATTTTGATGTACTTTTCAAAGATTGTACAACTGCAAGGTAAGTTGATCAAATCGTATTTACAATTAATCTTAAACACACTAATCAAATTGGAAGAGAAAAAGCAAAATTAACTCTCAACTCGATTATCTCAACAACAATCAATTGATTGATATCTCATTAAACTTCTTGACTAAATCTTCAATTTATTAATAGAGAGATTAAGCTTCATCATTCCTGACCTCTTGAAAAAAACAAAGTTAATCTAATTGTTTTGATTATCTTTAATTAGCATACATATATTACAATATATAAGACGTGTGATTAACTTGTTGATATTGCAAAATATTTATCGACAATTTTCAATCACACTGTTACTTTGTTAATCAATTGATTAACAAAATGACTCTCATGTGATTATTGATTACAATCAAATTGTATAAATAGAGAGACAATTGAAATTATTTTGAATACATGAAGAAAAAAAACTGGACAAACCTTAAAGTTTATCGTATTTGATGAATGTGTGTGAGTATTTCAATTGTGTGACAATGTCGATTGAGGATCAAGATGAAATTGCATCTCAAACTAGATCACAGTATCGATCCATCATTCTAGAGACTAGAATATGAAGAAAATGGTCACAATGGACTTTGTCGAAGGTTAGACAAGACTCTCGATCTTTTTTTTTACCATAGGAAAGGACATACGATCACAATAATAAGCAATTACAATTTACTATTAAGGAAAAGCTGAAAACTTTGCAAACTTTTTCCAGCAAAAACACTACTACATGTAGATCTTGATCCAATTGCAAACAACAACAACAACAACAACAACAACAACAACAACAACAGGCAAACACAAACTGTCCTCCTCAATGTAAATGATTCAAATTGCAATATGATTGATGTTTTATCCTCATCCTCATCTTCATATTGATCATCATATCAATACAATAACCTGAGAATCAAAGATTCAAATATTAGGCAACCCTAATAAATGATGATCATCATCTTCCTCCTTCATCAATTGCAACAAAAAACGATGATGATGATGATGTGAATGATTATCATCTTCCTCCTCTTCACTATCATCATCTTCTAGGAAATAAACAATTTACCAAATCTAAAAAAGTAACAATAATAATATATGAAAATTGAATTGAATTATTGTAAATGATGTTAACAATTTACACCAACGGTTACAATTAAATTACTTTACGTTTACAATCAATTGAAATCTATTATCATATGTTAATCATTTGAATCTGAATTTTGTATTTTCTTGATTGTTGTTGTTTAATGTTAATTGTTTACAATTGTTATTTACATGTAATAATCAGGGTTAAAAAATCAAGTTGATTTATATGATCATTTGGTAGTTAGTTTTAATTGTTAACCTGATTGTGTTGTTAACTGTTCAAGTGTGTAAGTTTTTTATCATAACAATTAACTTAATATCGAAGCCTTGATTAGTTTATTGATTAGGTAATTGTAATTGTCTTGACATTTAATTAAAAATGAAAATAATAATAATCGATTATATCGTTTTCTCAATATATATAAATTGTGATGATTTTTTTTCTTCATATTGTATCATAAACAATTGATTGATTGTTATTAGTTTGATTATATATCATAATCTGGAATCATAATAATATCAAACAATCAACTGATCATATTGAAATTAAATTGTTATTATTGGTTAGCCTTTTATTATTATTATTATTTTGTTGATTGTGTTAGTTACTGTTAATTATTATTATCATTTGTTATCAAACCAATCAATAAAAAAAACGTTAATATTGTGATATATAATTTAATTTAATTGTAACAATCAATAAATTTTGTGGTTATCAAAGTAATAAACAAGTTATACTTTTGATATTGATATTGAACAATTAACCAACCACAATAATTATTAATGAGATGACAAAGTAATCAACTTTTTTATTTAAATGGGACAACAATCAAGTTGATTGTTGCCACTAATTGTCAAACGGCCTTTTGATTAACAATGATTATGATGATGATGATGATGAAAAAAAGTCAATCATCAAATTACCAAGCGAAACAAAATTAACTAAATTAAAATTCATTTTGATTTAGTTGTTTACAAATTGCGAATCAATCACCAACCATTATAATGATAATATAACCAAATCGACAGCAATCAAATCAAATCAAATTAAATCAATTGATAAGGTGATGATAATAAGTGAGAAGTGAATGTTAAAAAAAAAGGAACAAGAAGAAAATACAAATTCGAAAAGAAAAGTTCTAATGTATTTATCGAATAAAATAAATCGTCAATTTTGTTCACAGTTTACTTTCTATTATGATGATAATCACGGCGATCACAATAAATGACCGATAGAACCAAACAACAATTAAATCGAGTGTGTTAGTATCCGAAGAGGGAACAAAAAAAGTGATCAACATAATTGTCGAATCGACAATGATAAAAGAGAGAGAGAGGAGGAAGAGAAAGGTCCAATTGTGAATATCGAAATGGATCCAAGAGGAGAATTGGAAACAAATTCGAGGTTAGGAAACCATTAGAACTTTTTTTTTAGAAATGTGAAGAAAAAAAAATCGAATGTGAAAAATGCCATATTGGCGTATTGTTGTTTATTCTGTACCCATTTCTAAATGTTAATAATAATATTAATCTAATATCTCGTAAAGTGATATGGACATTTGTATTAATACAAAAAAAAGACGAAGTACTTCCTGGTCCCTTGATAAGTTCTAGACCCTGACAATTACATTATATTGGCCGATGATTATCATATATATTTATTACATTTAATAGGTACCGTTATGTTTGATGATAAAAATGAACCATTGGATAAGGTAAATGTTGCGCTGTCATATGTACATTTGGTTGATATTATATTTACACTGTAAATTGGGTTATGCTGTTGACTTTGTGTCTATGATTGTGTGTGTGTGTTTGTGTGTTAAATGAATGGTAAGTATGTACAGAGTGAGCACAACACATTGACTACATTAAGTATTATGAAATTAAATGATAACTGATATGATGAGGATGAAATTTTGAGGAGAGAGAGAGAGAGAGAGAGAGAGAGAAGAGAGAGAAGATGGAGAGGAAGATGTTGGGATGATGTTAATGATGATGTGGTTTAATATTTGATTGTCATGTTTTATTGTTCTGGGAAAATTTTGTTGAAAATTATCATGATGGTCATTTCCATGATTTGATTCTGTTTGATTGTTTATTGTTATTCAATTAGTTTTGGTGTTAATTGTTTTCCATAGGAAGTTAGTTGACTTTTTTTCTCGCATTGGTTGGATGATTTTTGGGTTACCTGTTCAGGTTAATTGTTACTCTTTTCCTGGTGATAATTTATACCTGCAACAATTAGTCTAACCTTGATATCGTTTCTTGTTTTCAAAGCCTTTAGTTTATCAATTGTATCTTTCGTGATTCAATTGTTCATCTCATTTATCTTCATGATTTGTTTGTATCTCCTTCCAATTGTAACGGTAATTGATTTTCTCTCAATGAATCAATCATCTTATTTAGGGGGAAAAAAAGGAAAACAAATTATGATAAATGGTCAAGACGATGATGGTTATAGATGATAATGACCAATTTAGCATAAGATTATCTTTTCATCATCATCATCATTCCCGCATCGTACTCGTGGCCTGGTCTTAAAACTCAAAAGTCCAGCCCAGGTAATTGAGATCCAGTAGTAATTGGTGATCAGTTGCTAATCCAATTCACCAAGAAAATCATATTAACCTTTACACATAAAGAGAAAAAACTTTTTAACAACTTTGACCACAACTTTTTGACCAAAGGTCAAATAATTATGATAATAGGGTAACAATACACAACCAGCAACAACGATTAACCTATAACCCTAAATATCATTTAGAGAAAGAGAAAGAGAGAGAGAGAAACAATTACGATAATAATAGTAATGTATTCATCCAATTGGAACGGTCATCCACTTATACCAATGATAAATAGAAAAGGTAATATTAACATCGTTAGCCAATTGTAAATTCATCATCATCATCATCTACCTTTTATTTTCAGTCTTTTCCATGGTTCAATCATCTTCATCTCTCCTCCCACTCTCACCTTCCACCTCCTCCTACGCCTCATCATCAGCAGCTTATTGTTGATCTTTAAAAAACTTATCTCTCATTCTTGTGATGATAAATTATTACGTTGATGTTTCTTATGATAAGTTTTACATAGAAACTTGTCTTCAACATGATAACTCATTTTTGCGAGAAAACTTCATGTTTAATTGTTCAAGGTTAATTATAATCAACTAATTGTTTGAAAGAAAAACTTGCAAAATTTTGAAAAAATTGTTCTCACAATTTCATTAACCTTGGCTAACAATTAAACTTCCAATTACATATTCACATAGTATCTTTGTCTTTCTCTCTGGTAATTAATTAGTTTTAATTACAATCAATTGGAAAAGTTGAAATTTTCATAACAAAATTAAACAATTTTCACATTGTAATGAAGCAGAAAAATTGAATAATTAAATTATTAGAAACTGATTAAGATCACAAACTAAATGTAAATTTAATTATTTAAAGCAAATGATACAAAACAATTGAATTGTGATTAAAAAAATGATCGTTGAGAGTTAATTGAACAATTTTAATTGGACTAATCAACTTGTCATTGTTGCTCAATATAATTATGTTTATATTTTTGTTTCTTGTTTATGTTTGTTGTTTACATTAGTCGACCAGGTCGTCCACCCAAACGAAGTCCAGAAAGTGGAATGGTCAGTCCGATTCCAACGGCCATACCAGCGACCACTCCCCACAGTCAACAAGGTAATTCAGTGCCCTACCTGGGATTCCCACCGACGGGTAAGAAGCCAAGATACGCTGATGATGCAGACTACGGAGCTGAATGTAAGTATCATTAACTTTTCTAGCCCATCCTAAGAGGTTGAGAGGGTGGGATGAGGGAGGAAGAGGTGGAGGAGGAGGTGGGAATATACAAATCAAATATACAAAACAATAAATTCAACAAGATGATGATGATGATGAGAAATTCAAGTTTTTTTTTGCCTCAAAAGGCAAAACTTTTTGTTTTGTTTTTCCAATGATTAACAATCATGTTGATTTTGAAAACTCATCAGGTTTTTTTTATGTTGTTTTCTTGTTGATTGTTGTTTATTATTGTTATCATTATATTTTAAATTGGTATTATTGTTAACAATCAAGCCCATCATCATAATCAACAACCATCAAAATTACATCCTTATTATTATCATGTTATTATCATGATTAACTTTGATGATGATGAATTAGTTTTGATTACAATTGTTGTTGTTTTTCTTACTTTTCTCAATAATCATTAACTTTAATCTAGACTTGAACAAACTAATTGTTTGAAAAAGTTTTTTATTGTTTAAATTAAACGTTTATTTTTTCAACTAGATTGTTAAAGATTAATTGTAAATTAATTGTTTGTCTTGATTAGATTTCTGTTGATTTTGACTAATTAACTCGTGGCTAAATGAGCTCGTGCTCTTATTTACATTTAATTGTTGTCATTTGTTGATAAATATTTGATTTATGATAATAAATAAATTGTGATTTGATTAATTGTGGTTTATTGTTGATTGTTGTTACATATTGATTGATTATTGGTGTTTGTAATTGTTATAAATTAGCTTTAATTGTTTGTCTCCAGATTATTATTGAAAATCAAACATTTTCTAGCTTTGAACTTTACTCAGTATTTGTGGTTAATCAAGATGATAATCAATTCTGATTACAATTAATTGTTGTTGTTTCTTTTTTTACATTATAATCTCAATCTTAACCTAATCAACTGTCCAAACAATTAACTAATTGTCATTTTCTTTCCTTTTTTTTCATTTAAACAGCTTTAGAGATTAAACAAATACCGGCTAATAATTCAAACGGGAATAAATCATCGGCTTCAGCAGCCGCAGCGATGTTGGCAGCTAATGGTTATTCAGGTAAATAACTTAATGATTTACAATCAGTTGTGATAATTAACGTTGACAATTAAAGTTGATTGTCTTCAGATGATGATGACAGTTCATTGAAGATGATTAAATTGAAAGGGTTCCCCTTAATTAATTAATTATTAGAAAATGAAAGCAGATGAAAAGTTTTTAGATGAATTTTTCCCCATCATTTTTCAAGGTGAAAATGATGAAATTAATGATAGTCTGAGAGAGAGAGAGAGAGAGAGAGAGAGAGAGAGAGAGAGAGAGTGAGCTAATGTCCAGCCTAAAGTGACCTCGATAAGAGTTGAATTGAAAAGAGAAAACGAAATTATTATTCCCTTGTGAAGTTAATTAACATTGGATTAAATTAACTAAATTAACTTGGATCATAATTCATACATTAATTGTTGAGTTTTAATCGTCACTTAAGCTCATTGAATTAACATGAATATTCAAATGTTAATTTGACTCAAAAAAATACAATTGGTTTCATATTCATACGAACCAAGGATTCAGAATTATGACTTCTATATATATTAGAACTTTGAGTATATATAATGAATATCGAATGTTTTTATTTCTATTCTAATATAGGACTAGAAAAATATAATAAATGCTAAGGTTTTCAACTCGAAATTGTCGTTAGGATGTAATAGGAAATGAGGGAAGAGGCAAAAGAAAGGAAAAGAAGATGTAAAAGTTAACGATAACAATTGAACGAATTGAACTTGCTCAGAACTTTTATATTTTCCTTGCATTACAGTTGAATAGCATGAAGATGATGAAGATGGAGATGATAATAGTAATGATAGTGATAACATTTCATGAAATGTTTCCTGTAAAAAAAGTTCTGAAAGGAAATGATGTTCATCTCTTATTCTGAGTCGATTCTAGAACTTTTGATGAGGCGATAGGAATGATATTGGTTTTCATCTCTGTTCAGGGAAAAGAAAGAGATCTTAAGGAGAAATAAAATGGAACAGAAGAAAAGTTCTGAGCCAATCCCATGTCAACGAATGTCTTTTCTTTCATGATAATAATAATCTGCTCCACCCATGAATCCACATGAAAGAGAGAGAGAAAGAGAAGGAACGAAACTATCAATTCCATTTCTATTCCTCCATCTTTTTTCCCATCTTCTCTCCATCCTCATCATCCTTCTTTTCGTCTCACTCCAATGTTTTCCTATTTCTCTCTTATTCCAACTCATGATTCTCACTCTGAACTTTTTCCTTTCATGATCCTATAAATGCGAATTTATAAATGATATATATATTCCCTGAGAATCGAATGAGTTTAAGGAATTGCCTCTGAATGGTTTCAAGAATGATCCATGAGATGAATAACATGCTCAGTAGAATAATTTTTTCCCCAGCTATCATGTATCCACTGAATCTTCATGGGGAAGTCATTGAATTATTATTATTATTATTTTCTTCATTTCCATTTAACTCTATTTCAGAACTATTATTATAATGATGATGATGATGACACAGAAATGATGATAAAAATAGTCACTCCTTCATGATAGTTTCATGCTTATTCCAGTTCTTATCTCATGGTCCGACTCAGAATTGAATTGACTCACAATACTTTATCATGAATCTTTCATAGTTATATATTGAATACGCATGTATAACAATTCATTTCAACTGAATGAGTTTTTATTCATTTCATCATGTAGGCGGGTTTTCAGCTCTGAGCTGAACATATATTCAAGTATTATTATTATCATCATTTTATATGTGTTATTCAACTGCTTCATTAAAATCTTTCCTCCTCTTCACCAGAACCCTCAGAATCTCATGATAAGAATGAAAATGAGAGAAAAATCTTACAGGGGAAAACTAAGGGTGGAGTCATTTTCTCAATGAAAGAAATTATCATTATCTTCTCATGATATTTACTCTGAATCGATGGAAACTATTTCTTTTCCATGATCATCATCATCTTCATGAATCATGATTTCTCATGAAATACATATAAAAGAGAACCAAAAATCCAATAAACTCAATGAGAAATTTTCTATTCGCAATTCCAAAAACTGTTCAATCATCGCTCGTACCAAACGAATCGTTTATCGTTGCAAATTTACAACAATCGATATCGATCAAAGCCTCGAATCAAGTTGAATATCAACAAGTATCATTTCCAATTGATTTAATTGAATTTCTCTCTCTCTCTCTCTCTCTCTCTCTCTGATCCTCTTCTTCCCCACCCATCATCTTATAGCTTTCCCTTTCCTCCAGCATTTCGGTGCTTCATCAGCATCAACACCCACCAGTCAACAACAACAACACCAGCAACAATTAGTTGCAGCAGCAGCAGCCCTTGGATTACCTGGTTTACCAACATCAAGGTAAGAAAAACAGCAAAATTGAAACAGAAAAACAATTAAATTAATTAGAAAAGTTGTAAAAAAAAAGATTAGCATCCTCATCTCATTTCAATGAAAAATATTCATCTCTTTTTTCTGGATATAAATATGAACAATTTTCATTTGTAATTTAATCTTGAGTAGAAAACTAATCAAATCTTAATCATATTTATATTTATTCACTAATGATGATAAACATGATGAGAGAGGGAGAAAGTAAATTAACTTTTTAAAAGAATAGTAAAAAGTTTCAACTTTCTCAAAAAAGTTATCTGATAATATCTACATGGGAACTGTACATGATACTATTATTTTCACCGAGTTGAGTTTACAGTTTTCAAGGTACTTTTATTGATGATCATGTTTTTATCATGATCGTAACTCATTAAATTCATAAAGTTTATTATTTAATATCAAATGAACATGATTAACGTTTAATGATATTAAACTAATGGTAATCAAAAACCAGAATTCATTGTTATGATATTTCATGAGATATTTATCTTGCTAATCTCAATATAAACTTAGATTGTATCATGAAAAGTTTTGAATTCATGATTAGATTACAATGTTATCCATTATCATTAGTTAATCTTAGATAATCAATGAATTAAACTTTTTGTTGATTTTTATTGTGATTCTTGAATCTCCCTCACTCTCTCTTTATTTTTGTCTTTATATGTCTCCCTCTCAAATCATCATCTTCATCATCACTTTAATTTAGTCAAGATTGATTGTGAATGAATTAATTGCTCCAAAGATAAAATTATGTGTATAGAGTTAATTTAGTTTAATGATTAATGATGATGATGATCAAGTTGCATTTGTGTGTCTTTATGAGTTTCAGTCTTTGAGACAAGGGAAAAAAATCTTACTAGGAAAAAGATAAACAAAGATTAACATTGTTTTTCTGTTGTTGTTGTTAAAATGATTGATTTAAACATAAATAACAAACAAAATGAACTGTAATTGACCAAATTAAGGGTCAAATTACTTGTGTAAGAAAATGGGAGGAAGATGAAAATGTTAAGATGATGAAGAGGAGAACCGTTAAAGAGGCGGAGGTTGGATGCGGGGAGAGAGAGAGAGAGAGAGTGATGGTTATGGTGGTGGTGATGGAAAAGTGAATAATTAGTAAGACAAAAGATGTGACATTATGATAGTAAAAGTCTCAATGTTTTTGGATTCTTAGTGTGTGTTCATTGAGAATTCAGTTGATGCCTTGAATTTTAAAGATGAAGATGAGGATGATAAGGAAGTGAAAATTGTGAACTAAAATTTGTAACGAAAATTGAAAGACAGAGAGAGAAGGAGAGAAACCGAGAGAGATCATTGATGATAAAAGAAGATGATAACAAAAAAGATTCATTGTAATCTATCTGGATGAAGATGAAGATGAGGATGATAAGGATGCTAAAGGGGGTTGGGAATCGGTTTTTTTTCTCTTGGTGATGAGGATGGAAATTAGTTGTATAGAGTTGCAGTGACATTTTCCAACTCTGAATCTCCTTTTCAGATAAAATGAGAAGAGAGAAAAAGAAGAAAAGTTTTTAAGATTGAAAAAAAAGATCGAATATTAAATCTTATTATAGGGATGCGGAAATTGAGATTGAAGATGAGAGATGATTATGGGGGAGGAGTTGAGGATGATTAGGATGATAATTTTCTACTGGATAATATGAGTAAAGAAGAAAAGAAAGAGAAAACTTTTTTCTTTTAATTTAGATTTTTTTTCTTTCTGTAGATTAAATTTAAATGAATGAATTTGAATGAACAGAAAGATACTGATGATGAAGAAGATGAAGAAGATACTGATGATGAGGATGAGAAAAGAAGGAAGCAAGAAGATGAAGAGGAGACGGATGTGGGTGGGCAGAAGATGAAGATTCCTTTTTTAAGGAATGTGTTTTAGGAGGTTCTCTAATATTCAAAGTCATTAATCATTCTCTTCTGTCGCCATGATGAGGATGTTGATGAAAAGGAGACAGAGAAGAGTTAAAAGGGAAGAAAGATGATCAGATGATGAGAGAAAGAGAGAGAGAGAAGATAAGTTGGAAAAGTTCTCTTTTTTTTCTTTCCCTCTTTCTCTTTTTTCTTTCTTTTTCTCTTGTTGTTATCTCATTCAAACACTCGTTAATATAATTAAAAAGCAATGAAGACAAAGTTTTTTCATTCATCTCCATCATCATCATCTCACAAATTAAGAGAGAGAAGATAGTTTCTCACTCTCATCATCTTCCTATTACATAAATGAATATCTATGAATTTCTGATCCTTTTAAAATCTATGGGAAATTCAAGTGATCCAATTCTGATGATGATGAGAAATTCTGAGTTTCTGCCTTGAGAGAAAAACAAAAATTTTCTCTCTCATTATTTTGACTCTCTCTCTCTCTCTCTCTCTCTCTCCGAATCATCTTTATCCTCATCTTTTTTTCTGGTGACAAAAGGATTGCAAAACTAATACTTAAATGTTAACATCTTATGCTTTTTAACAATTTTATCTTCATTATCAGAATTTTCAACTCTTTCAATGCTTTTTACATGATGATGACTTTTTTTTTACTCATCATCATCTTCCTGCTCCTAATTACAAACTATTACACCTTATCATTTGTGATATCAATCATCCTTGCAACATTATTTTACACTTTAGTATCAATTAACATTCTCATCAATTGTTAATCTTGCTTCAACTCCCCCATTGCAAAATGAGTATCATCCTCATCCTCACACTCTTATCATCCTCATCATCATTATCATTATTTAATCCTTTCATCACTTTACTATTTTTTGCATATTGACTGATTACAATATCCATCATCATCATCACCATCATCATCTTATTGTCACTCTGCCCGATTTTCAATTTACATTCAAGATGCTGATCAACTAATCATAATGACGATGATGATGATGATGATGATGGTGATAATTGCATCTTCTTATCATCAGAATCTCTGTCTGTCTCTCTTGATGATTTTCAAATGATTTTTTCATGTAAACATGACGATAATCATTCCTAATCAACGTACTAATTACAACAGTAATTAGTGTAATAGAAAATAAGTAAATTATTCAGCATGTTAATCAACCTTCTTGAACTAACAAACTTTTTGAATGAGTTAAAAAAAAGTTTCTCTCACTTTGAAAAACAATATTGTCCATTCAATATCATCAGCAATTAGATGACAAATCAATTAATCATGTTAATAATAGTGCTCAGTTAATTTCAATATTTTGAAGGTTTTTTTTGTGTGAAAATTATGATTCACAATCAACATTGAGAAAAAAAATACTCTGATTACTTGATTCAGTTAATTAAAGTTACAATTTATCATAAATTAATGAAACATTGTTAATATTAAAATTGTAAACTTCTGAAACTTTTTTTGTTGTTGCTCAAGTCCAAATGTCATTACATTGAGAATGATTAATTAATCAAGTAATTATGATGATATAGTGAAATAGTTGTGATAATTAACTGATTGCTGAAGGAGGAGGAATAGTAATTATATGCCTATGATAATTAGCCAATGGTCAGATATCATTGACAAAGAAACAATTATAATTATAAACTCTATGGGAAAGATAAATTGGTATCAAATTAAATCCCCAATATGTTTCATGCTAATGATGAGGATGAAGATAAAGATGAGGATGAGGATGGAGAGATGATGAAGGACAGTTTAATGAATATTTAAACAATATCATGATTAAAAGTCGAGCTTTTTGTCCCTACTATGGTTAATATAATATATTAGTTATTAAATGTCCCACTTTACCCTTTTCCTCATTTATCTAATCTTCCTGTTTATCATCATTATCATCCTCTGTCTCTTTGTCTCTTTCTTTATGGTTTGGCTTATCATCCTTGAGAGTAATTTATCTTCTCGGTGAAAATAATATGTATACTTGTTAACATGCATTTGGTTACTTTCAATGATACAGTTTTTATGATGAGGATGCGGAGGAAGAGACTCACATCCAGGGAATGGGTTAAGATTAGAATAGTGTTGAATATGATAGAGAATCAGAATTTTTCTTCATTTATTTATGTTCAATTCGAAAAGTCAAAAGTTCTAAAGATGAGAAAACAATATTATCTTGACTCTCTCGCTCTCTATTTCCTCCTTTCTCTCCCTGTTTTCTAGATTTTCTTCCTCTTATCTTCACCTCATCTTTTCCTCTTCCTGTCCAGTGATAAGTTTACTATTCTTACCGCTTTGATTGTAAACAGATAACAATTTGTTTCTATCAAAACATTGATGTTTTGATTTGTGTTTGTCTTTTGTCTCGTTCAATATATTTAATCATATTAATGGTAAACTTATGATTATGTTTGTTTTTCGAAGAGAAAAAAATCATTTTTTTTTATCGAAAAATTAAATTCGATGATAGGAAAAAACTTGCTCTCGATCTCTTCTCGTATTTCCTATCGATTTATCAACATTCACAGTTGAAATGCAATACACATACATCATGATATCATTAATTATATTTAAGATGAGATGAAATATCATCCAGTAGCATCCTCATCATCACCTGATGATCATCATCATGATGAAACAAGAGAGGAAAAAAATAACTAGAAAAACGATTTTTTTTTCTTTCAATAAAGGGAGCTGATGAGAGAGAGAATTGAGTAAGAATGATGAAATATTCGAATCGAATTTTCATCTCTTATTCAGATAGATGAGAATCGATGAATTTCTACTCATCAGCATTTTCTGTTTTCAATATAATTTCTCAGTTTTTCAATAGAAAACTTTTCAAAAGGTAATATATCTTATTTTCTAGGATGAAGAATGATCTGTGATGATGAGGATGATGGCAGTGGTGATGGTGTAAAAGTAGAAATGAAGATAGAAAAGTTTCTTTGGAAAAAAATTTCATTCTCTTCATCATGATGATCATCTTTGAATACCAGGCATCAATGAACAACATTAAGTGCAACTCTTGCAAATCAACTGATGCATTAATAAATTCATAGCTTATTTTATTTCCAGTGTTTGTGTTACTTGAAATCAATTGAAGCTGAACAATATAACAATATCATGATATTCATGAATCAATAATAATAATCAACAGTAACAATTAACTGCAATTCAAGGTAGAAAAAAATTGAAAATCTAGTAAACAAAAACAACCACAGATGAAAAGTGATTCAGAATCAGCTGTAAATGACAAGGATCTCAAATAGTTGACAATTTGTACACAAAAATGATAAATGCAATTAACTTAGTTAATAGCAGATTAATTACTCTTTGCAATTGAGTTAATTGTAATTAAATTGGATGATGATTGTAGGAGTATAATTAGATAATATAAACATTCAACCTCGACTTATTTCAATGGATTTTCAAACCTTTACCTTAGTTTTTGCTGCTTCTTGCGTAAAATTTTGCAAATAAGCAAAAAGAAGGGGTTAAGATGCAGATGAAGAAGCAAGATGATGATGATGATGAAGTAGATGGAGATTAACAAGTGAAAAAAGAAAGAAAAAAAGAAAGAGAGATTATGAAAAAAAGAGTAGAGTAAAAGTGAAATCAATTCTTTCATCTTCTTCCTCTTTCTCTCTCTTTCTTGTTGTCACCAAGAAGAATGATTAATTACTAGCTCTCTCTCTCTCTCTCTCCCACTCTCTTTCTTTGTTCTTTCATCATCTTCTCCATCTTCTCAATTTCTTTATCATCTTCATCTTCTCTTTCCTTCTCTCTCTCTCTCTCTTCCTCTGTGATTGCCTCTGATACATTCATTGTATTATTATTATATGTGAGTCTCTTTATCTAAATGCATTTGCTTGGCTCTCTCACTCTCTCATTCACTCTGTGTATATGAGATACAAAAGTGTGTGTTAAAACCATCATCAATCATTATGTCAGCCTAAATTAACTCAGATCAACAAAACTTTTTTTCCCTCCACCTCCTTCAATGTCCCCGCTTTGCAAACTTTCATATACACAAACAGCATTCAAATTCATACTCACATAATATTGTAAACTTTTTACTCCAAATAATATCACATATACTTATCATTGTTGCTGTTGATTATTATTATATTTTTTTACCTTACGAAATTTTTTTTCATCATCATGAGCTTTAATTTAAGATCATGATTCATATCTATAAATATGAATGCTCATGATATTTATAAGATTATAACCTATTAGCATTAGGATAATATCATGTTAATGATTATATTGTTTACTCAACTTTTTATCAAACAAATAACAATAATAATGCTCTCGTGATATTTACCGTTATTATCGTTATCTTGGTTAATTTTGTTTTCTCATCAGTGAGAGATAGAGAGACAGAAAAACAAATATCAACAAATTGAATGAATTGATTTTCTTTCTGAGTTTATCAACTATTTTCAGGGGAGAAGTGAAAATTTTCACATACAACTATTGTTTTTTTTTCTCTATGAAAATATTCATCCAATCATCAACTTGATGGCTTCTTAAATTACCCTTACTGGTTTAATTGGTGTTTTGATTAAGTAATAACAGTTTAGAATTTCTTGATTGTTATCATGATCATTAATCAGTCGGTTAATTGTTTTTTTTTCTCATTCAAACAAAAGAAACTCACTTTTCTCAACTTTTCTCTATTCACTGAATGAAAATTATCACCATTTCTATTATCACTCTCACTCTCAATTCTAGATTTTCCTCTTCAAGTCCACCCCCTGGTCTTGGAGGATTAACGAGTTATCATGGAACTGGATCATCAAATCAACGAGATAACAATTCAAACGGTGATCTAAATGGAGAAATAAATCCGATTGCTGCTTATTTACTGCAATTATCCCAACAACAACAACAACAGCAGCAACAACAACAGCAACAGCAACGTCAACGAGATCATCAACAATCAGGAAATCAACAATTAACTCAAAATCATAATCAATCAAATAATAACAACTCATCAACCTCATCACATAACAACAATAATAACAATTCAAGTAACAATGGTAATCATCATAACAGCAACAACTCATCAACACCAACACTTACAACTGGATCAGCACTTAATTTAAGTTCTCGAAGTGCTAATGGTTCAGGTATTACTACAGTTATCGGTAGTCCAATTGATGATAACGATAATAATAATAACACAAATAATAACAATAATAATAATACAAGTTCGAGAAATAGTTCTAATCGTAGTTCGAGTTATCATCATAACTCAAAGGAATCACGAAGTGGATCTCATGGTTTACTGACCATAAGTACTGTTAATAGTAACAGTATTAATAATCATTCATCATCCTCATCTTCTGGTAATCATCATCATCGAGACAGCAACAATTCATTAAGTATTAGTACAATTAACAATACAACAATTAGTAATTCACATTCAACCAATAATAATAATAATCGTTTATCATCATCATCATCTCGTCATCATCGTAATAACCATTTAAATAACAACAGCAATTTAAACCTTTCAGGTAGAGGAGGAAGAGGAAGACGAAGTGGTCATCGTGATGAAGATGAAGATGAAGACGAGGATGAAGAGGATGATGAATCAACTGATGAAGAAGATGATGAAGATGATATCAATTCAAATGCTAGTAATAGTAATCATAGTGATAATCCAGTCAGTAGCAGTTTCAATGGTAAGTTAATTGTTTGGAAAAAAAAATTTTTGCTCTTCACAATCAAAAAGTTAAACCACTAATCATGTTAATTTAGGTTCAATAATAATCATGATGATAATTTAATTGGACACAAATTAAACTTGATAAGTTTCAAGTTAATTTTAAGGTTTGGCATTTTAACATGAGTCTAGTTAATTTAAAGGTCTAAATGTTAAGTTAATTGTTATAACTGTTATAGCTAATTGAATTATTAACTCTTGTGTTGATTTAATTTTTAATTTTGTCCAATCAAAAGTTAATGGGATGTTTTTTGATTCACTTTCATGGGTTTGGCTTAGGAAACTTGTTTTCTGGTTTAATTTGTGTTGATTGTGGTAGTTTTTTATTTTGTTAATCAACTTCAATCTTAATCTTAATTGATTGATTTTTTTCTTGATCAATTTTCAACTTATCAGGTTTAACATCATCATCAATACGTGTCATACCCACCGATGGGACAATATCAACTCCCAATCACAATACGTCATCGGGATCACCGATTCCGATACCAATTGCAGTGGCCACTCATTCAACGGTTCCAATGGGACTTTTAACTGGTGGTGTCAGTGTCGGTGGTGGGTCAACCTCAATCATGGCTACAGGAGGTGCAACCCTTTCATCATCTTCTGGGTCAACCCACCTTTCATCATCTCACCATCACCACCACCATAATAATAGTAATAATAATAATAATAATCAACAATCATCTTCATCACTACCTCAACCTGAACACTGTCTTGAAACACTTTTACGTAACATTGAAGGGCTTTTGGCAATAGCGGCACATAATGCAAGGCAACAGCAAAGTCAATTAAATCAACAGAAAGGTAAAGAAAAACAAAACAATTATCTCAAGACTAATTAACTCAATTTTCAAAATCAATCAAGTTTAAATTTTTCCATTGGCGCAAAAAAAAAACTCAATCTAAACCAACAATCAACAAACCAACAGGAAAAATATACTTGTAACTTTGTTGTTGTTGTTTTTGATACAACAAACATTTGATTGTTGACAAGTATGAAAAAAAGGCAACGAAATCAACTTGTAACTTGTCAACTGATTTGCTTTGGGATGTTGATTGTTGATGGTTTACTTATGTTGATGGATTGTAACATCGATTGCAATGTAATATTATTACATTATCATTGGAATGTGCAAATGAGCTGAATAATAATATTGAATGGACAGAAAAGGGACAAAAATTATCGCTGTTGATTGTTGATGATGAAGGTCAACAATCAACAATAATCAAGTCAACATGATTGATCAGATGATGATAATGAAGAAACTTTTTTGCTTCAACAAATATATGAGTATAAAGAGGAAACATCAAAACTTTTTTTTTTCGTTTTCGTCGAATAAGAAAAAAAAAAGTCAAACAAAAATTAATCATTTCCGTTTCTGTTTTACTCTAATTATTATAATCAAGTGAAAATGTAAAACTAGAATTACTAATAATTAGATGGATTAAGATTTTCGCTGAGATATTGGTTACAATATATTTCCTTTCACATCTTAATCCATTACAGATTCAATTCAATTTCAATGGCATCATGATGATAATGATGATGATGATGATGATATAATCATTTAGTCATTACAATTATAATCAAAATAAAAGCTCACTCGCTGACTCCACCTAATTTAAGTTAATCAATCAATCATCATCAATGCATTATCATCATTATTATATCCGGTTCTATGAGTTGTTATTTTAAAATGTATTTCAACCAATCAAACGATGAAATTATCATCTTGATTCATCTTCTTCCTCCTCCTCCACCTCCTCCTCCTTCATGATGATGATGATGATTATCATTATCATTATGATAAAATTGATAATAATTCTGATCACTTTGATAGTTTATAACGAAACAAACTTGATATTCAGGATGAAGATGAAAAACTTTTCACATTTGCATAGTTGATGCAATACCTTTTGCTTACCTTTGCAATATTATTATTGTATTATCATGATGATGATGATGATAAAAACCATTGAAATTTTTTCCTCTGACAGTCAGTTTAATAGTTACATGATGAAGATAAAGATGATGATCAAAAATTGAACTTTTTTTTTGTGTTTCCATCTCAATTTTTACATCAATTTAATTTCTTGACATTTGATTGGTTTGAGGTTTGCATTTTGACCATTTTAATATTACGGAAATTTAGTTAATTGGATTGAAATATTGCGTGTCATCCTTATCATCTTCATCATCATCCCTATCATGATTATCCTCATCATCTTTTTTTATACATCCTATAAATGAGAAGAAGTTGCAATTTAAATTCTAATCAAGGAATCTCATGTTTTTCCAATTCTAATTTTCATTTTCTTCATCTCAAAAGATCAGATTGTCTAAATCTCTAAAGAACCACAACAAATCTCATCCTCATCTTCATCTTCATCTTCATATACAAAGCTTTTGATTCTTTGTTTTTATCTTCCTCATCCTCATCAACCTCATCATTTTAATTTCTACTTCTATCTTATTATTAGTATGGAGAAACATTAAGATTTTCTGATTTTTTTTCATCTTCTCACTAATTAGAAGTTGGCAGCTTATAGATTGTTACAATTAGCTAGTAATTTATCTGTTCGCAATTTAGAATCAATCTTTTACTCACTTCTAATCATTTCTTAATTGTAACTTTAATCGCATTAAAAACTTTTCTCTTATTCCAAGAGATGTGAATAATTCATCATCAGAATGAGGAGATAAATTAAATATTCTTAACTTTTCCATGTCGATCATATTGTTTTACATTATATTCATTAAAACACAGAATCTTTAACACCTTATGATTAATTAGCTTTTAGATGATTAACATTTTTTTTATTCTCTATTTCATCTGAATCATTTTGAATTTGGTTAAACATCATTAGCAAAGAAGTTGTAAAGTCAGAGAATCAGAATCAGAGTAAAAGATTAAAAAGAAAAGGAGAAAATGTTGAAATTGAAAAAGTAACCAAGGAGAATGTTGGAAAAATATATTTACAGAAATTCGAAAGAGATGAGATGAGAGGAAAAAAATGAAGAGGTGGGGGGAGGATGGAGAGTGCTAAGGTGGGTCGATGGTGGTGGAAGATGAATAACCAAAGATGATACTAAATTCATTAAGAATTCAAAAGATTATCTCTTATAATTGTTCTGTCTCTGGTAGATTAACCTCATCTCTCACTCATTTGAATAATAATAATAATTGATGTGTGTTCACACCTTCTCATCCACATCATCATTATCATCCTCGTCATCCCACTCTCTCTCTCTCTCTCTACGTCTCATCAATCTGAGCATCCAAAGGAAGCGTAAATTAAACAGCTCAAATTATTGTTATAATTACAACTGTAGAAAAAATATTCTTAATCCTTTTTATCATTCTCCTCGTTTCTCCAGCATCCTCCCTCTATTTTCACCTCCTCCTTCATCATCTTCTCCCACCCAGCTCATCCTTTATTTTTTTGCATCTTTTTCTTTTTCGAGTTCTAAAAAAAAGTTCTATTCGATTCTCTGTTGGCCATTTTAACAAAGTCAAAAAATTAACTTTTTAATTCTCATCAGGATTAAATTACTTTCTATACGGTTTCATGATTTTAATTCATATAAAATCAACAATCTCGTTTTTTCATCTTCATCCCAAAGCATTTACCTAAATTAACTTGATGATGATAATGATGAGTAGAGAGAGAGAGAGAGAGAGAGAGAGAGAGAGAGGTTCAGTTACCTTAATGAAAAAAATGAATAAAGTCGATTAAATAAATGAGAAGAAAAAAATTCTTATTCTAATGATGATTATGAGATGATCTCTGTGAATTCTTGATGAAATCGAGTCTCAGATGAGAACTTGAAGTTACTGTTCATTAAATGGAAGTGATTTTCTCCATGAAAATATTACAACAACTATTAGAGATTAAATAATTTCTCCAAGTGTTAATCTGTTATCATTTATATAGAATTTTTTTCTCATCTACCTTCATCATTGGAAATATTGGAAATTCAATAGGAGTGATTTCCTCGTTCTGGTTAATCTCAACTCATGGCAATTGAAATTGGAAATATTCATGAACACAAATTCATACAATCATTTAATTTCCAATGATTAATATCATGAATGAATTAGTGAATCAAATTCATATTAGTGATCATTTTTTTCAATTCATCATATTGATTCATTGGGAATGAATAATTTTCTTCTCTCTCTCTCTCTCTCTCTCTCTCTCTCTCTCTCTCATTCTCTTGTGGGTGGGAGAGAGTTAGAAAAACAGGGAGAGTATATACTCACTTTCTCATCATCTTAACCTCTTTACCTTTCCAGTTGATTATCATCCTCATCCATCATTTGAATCCGAGGCTTTGAATCATTTTTTTTTTTGCTTTCCTCTCACTGCTTATGCTAATCCATTCATACCCTTTATATGCTCACTCTTCATCTTTATCATCCTCATCATCCGCATCCCTACCATAACCAAATTACAACAGAAGCATAAAAAAGTAACTCCCTGAATCCAAATATACATGGTGTATATTATTACCAACTCACTCTTTTAAAGTTTATAATGATATTTAAAACATTTGGTTTGGGAAACATTGAGAAAAAAAATTTCCAATTCATGATTAGATTTAAATTCTAGAACTTTTTGAATTTCGAGTTTTTGATTCGAGCCAAGGGTTCGATCAATTTAATTTGGCATATTTTGATTGATGGAAATCGTTCCAGTTACAATATATTAGGAAACAAATTCTGGTTTTCTCAGTCAACTGTGTATATTATCATCATCATCATTTTTATCATCTTCATCTTCATGGTGATATTTATTATCTTTGTCAGTTCTTGAATGAGTTTCAATGCAATTGAGTTGAACATCTTAGATGTTGTTAACAATTGACTGACTCATTGAGAGAAAATTATGATTAGTTGTTGAATTTTTAACCTTTAATTATTCATGACAATTAATTGATTCAATCATCATCAATTGGAGTAATTAATGATTCTCTTAATTTATTACAATTTAACAGCGGAAACAATTGTCTCACCTTGATTGTTATCAATGAATCTCTATTGTTTCTCACTTTGATTCATTAATCTAAATGATTTATCTTGATAATTGCAATGAGAAAAAAACTTTTCAGTAAAAAAATTTAATCTCAATTGCAATTAACAAGGAAAAAACTAAGTATTTATATTGTTAATCACTTCACAATTAATCATTTAATTGTCACAACTTTAGTTTTTCAAGTTTACATTCAGAATCCATTGATCATTAATTAAAAGTGTGATTAATTGTTTATCATCATCATCATCAACTACAATTTATTTTCACAATCATAATGATTAAGTGGAAACAATTGAAAATGAAAAATGATTGTTATTAATCAATTGGGATAAAAGTTTCACTTTTTTTTATATATGTATCATGATTGTTGATCATGATTAATAAATTGTAATTACTTTTCAAGTCTCTTTGTTGAAAATAATGATGATTATTATTATTATTGTTGTAGTTCAATTGTAAACTGTTATTTAATTGTTAATTGTAAGAGTGAGTTTGGAAACGATTAAATTGTTTGACTATTTATTACAAAAGAGGAAACATTAAATTGTTGATTGTTGATTGTGATATATTAATGATTAGGGATATTTAAGTTTGACAAGAAAACAATTGAGAGAAAGTTCAATTTTCAGAATGTGAAACTGGAAACTCATATTTTTTTTCATGAGCTATTAACAGAAAAAGTAACCATTAGAACTGGTCAATATAATGGTGACATTTATATAACCTGACAACAAACAAATAACTTAACTTATGTCAACATTACACTATCATCATTATCATCCTTGACCACCCTCTTCCTACACAACCATGAACATTATCTCCCTCATCCTCCTCCCTATGGTGACTGATAATAATGGGTAATAATGTATTACAAATAAGAGGTGACATTTTTTTTTCTTCCTGAAAAAATTTCATTCTTGATTCCCTGTTGTTTGTTTCGCTCACTTTTTGGTCAGTAATCACGATAAAATCATGATGACCATGAAGATTGGGATGACAAAAGGAGGACAATTTAATACTCTCTCAATGAGTTTAGGTTTGGATACACAAAAGTCAAGTATCATTTTGCAAAATCAATTTTAAACTGACAAATAGTTAGCAGAGAGAGAGAGAGAGAGAGAGAGATGAGGATGACAAATATCATGAGGGGAGATGATGATGTAAAAGGAAACATGGAATCAAGGAGACAAATATCATGGATGATGATAGGGATGAGGATGAGGAAGTGTAGTTTTTATATTCGATCGTTTCTCTTTCTCTGTATTTGTTAACAGAAACATAATTTTTCATTAATCTGATACTTTTTTTATTCTCTATCTCTCTTAATCCTCATGAGGATATTGGGTCTCGATGATGTTTTTGTGGCTTTTGCAGAGGTAACAAGACAAAGCTAAAAGAAAGTGAATCAACAGGGAATCATCATCATCATCAGCTTCAATTTTCATCCTCCCCACTCACCAACCTCTCCTCCTCTTCAATATACACACCGAGGTTTTTTTCACCTCTTTTTTTATCATCATCACATCATCATTTGTGTTTCTGTTTTTTTACATCTGATCCTCTGGAAATAATGATGATAAGCCTCATCTCTCTCTCTCTCTCTCTCTCTCTCTTCTCTCAGTGATGATATTCAATAATATCATCATTAGAAACTCCCTCAGGATGACCTTAAAAGTTGACAAACTTTACCAAAAGGTCAATCAAGAAGAGATTAAGAAACTAGTATATATATATTTTGACCATTGGATAGTTTATTTCATCAGGTTCAATTTTCTCATGGATCATCATCAGTATATATCTGAATAGTTTCATGGGAAGATAATTTTTCATGAGCATGATTATGATGAGATTGAATTGATTGTTTTTATTGTGAAACAACAATGAAAATCAATTGACTGGCAAAGAAATGCTCAATTCAAGGTACAATATGGAAACATATCTCGATATAAATAACTTGAAATCCCTCGTAATCTCCTTGGAGATGATGAAATGATAATAAGAGAGAGAGAAAAGGAGGATAATCCAGAAGAGGATAAAAAGGGAGTTAAGTAAAGGCCAAATATTGACACGAAAAGTAATCATCATGAAGATATTAACAAAGAGAAAAGTTAAAACCTTTTGTTTTTCAATGAACTTGATATTGACCATATATCACAGAGCAATCAACTCATACGATTATGTCACCTGATGATAAAAATAAAATATATATTTCTACATTATATTAACATGAGAGAGTGAGAGAGCTTGATAAGATGACCAATACAAACCAATGGACCATCAAAAGGTCAGTTCCTTTGAGGATTAACTAAAGTAAAAGGCATTTCCATGTTTACAATATTTTCCCAAGAATAGAAAAAGTCAAATGTAAATGAAATTGATAAACTTGACATGGATCCATAAGCACACAGCTCTAAAACTGACCATAACTGACCAATATACTCTAATGATAAAACTGATTTAACTTCAAGTTGAAAATAAAACACTTTTGAACATTTGAAAAGCTCGAGGAAAAAAAAAGTAAACAAAAAAGTTTTTTGTTCAACTTTCTCCATTCATGTTAATTGTAAATTCAATTTGTAAATCAAATTGTTCAATTTTCTCAGCAATCAAGTAATTTTGATGAGCATTGAAAATTTGTTGACACAAATAGCAATTGTTTATCATCAACAATTTAATAATAGTTAATTGAATACATATCATGCTGATAATATTATCTCATGATAAATATAATAGGCAACAATCAGAAATAATTTAACAAACAATTTAATTTGATTGAGTTTTCTGAGACTTGTTTTTATCCCTCTTGTACATACAAAATCAAATTGAAACAATTAAAGTTAATTGTTAATCATAGTTTTCCAGCAAATCGTGTCTGAGAAACAAATTACCGTGAAAATTGGATTGATTTCACGCTTTTTATCATGTTAAATGTGAAATTAAATCCAAAAATTAGTTTATCTTTTTAATAGAATAAGAAAAAAACTTTTCTCTCAGGATAAAATCTCAGGTAGAAAAATTTTCTTATCATTTCACTTTTTCCTCTTCATCACAAATATCACCCTCAGGCGAATACAATTTAACCATCTATTAGCAGAATCATTATCATCATCATCTTCATCATCTTCATCATCTTCATCTCCATCATCATTATAATTATCATTTGAACTTCTAGTTAATAATATTATTGTTTTAATGATGATAAATAATAATAAACATCTAATGAATTACCTTCATCGAAACTTATTCACATCTTATCGTCTTAATCATCCACCCCCTTCCTCCATCTCATCCTTCATCCCTCATCTTTCATTTCTCTCTCATCAAAACGGAAACAGTTTTTTCTTCACGATTTCCTATAAGAAAAGTTGTATATAAATAAATACATTTATCTCTTTGTAATCTAAGTCTCTTTGGTTTCTTTTTTTTTGTTTCTTAAAGAAAATTTTCTCTCTCTCTCTTTATCCTATATATCATTTGTACATCATCTTTATCATCCTCATCCTCACCATCACTTTGAGTCTATACATGAGCATCATCATCATAATCATGTATTTATTACCATTATAAATGATTACTTGAAGTTAAAGTTTCTCATTTTCATTGAGTTTGCAAAAGTTGAACAAATATAAACATGATAAATTCAATCATCATAATCATGAATTATCTTGAATCCATCATGATGAGTTGAGAAATTTAACAATTTTAAATATTAGAAAGATAGAGAAATTTTTCCCCACTAATTCAAATTCTGATTTACAATTTCATCATGATCTCTGAACTATTAATAACCTTTCAAATCTTTTGGTATGAATTCATCTCCTAATCCTTTTCATCAAATCTCATGAGGTTTCATATGAATATGAATAAGCATATTTGTATCATCCATGTGCTGGGATTACCTTTTCCCTCCCATGAATCACATACACCGATCATGAAAATATATCTTTCCATGTAATCTCATGAAATTAATTGTAATTTCCTTGATTTATTTACCATGTTAACACCTTAAGTGAGTTAGCATTACAAAATTATCATTTAATTCAATCCCGAATGAACAAAAAAAGCGTTAATTTCATTAACTAACTTAATTGTTATCATCTAAATTTAATAGTTAACAATTTGTTTGTGTTAATCGTGTGCACAGGTATTTAAATCACCCTGTTAATTGTGGTTAATTGGCTGCTGATTGTTTGAGTTAATTTTTTGTTTCTATGTAAATGGCTGGTGTTTTTTAATTGTTGAGATTTTTTTCCCAATACGGTGAAAACTTGATTGATTTTAATTTCTATTACTGATTAATTGCTAATTGTTGACTTTTGAATTTTCTTTCTCCCCTAATTTTGTTAATTGTTTAGCTGAATTAAAAGCTGAACTTGGAGCTGTAGTTGAACGGGAACGTGAAGCAAAGGATCAACTTGAAAGACAATTAAATGAAGAGTCCAAAATTAGATGTAAGTTACAAGATAATTAACTGATTTTGATTGTGATTTCCTTCAATTTATTGTGAAAGAAATTTGCTAATTGTGATTAATCATTGATTTGCTTTCCTATTTCTGTGATTCTAATTGTGTTTAGTGTTATATCAAAAGCGATACAAGAAAGAGAAACGATATCGTCGCAAGATTGAAAATGATCTTGAACAATTACAACAACAACAGCAACAATTAAATCAACAACATGAACAACAACAGCAGAAAAAATCATCATCATCATCATCTACCTCTTCATCGTCTTCACAATTATCACCAACCTTACGACACTCATCATCTTCCAACAATCAACAACCAAATCAACAACAATCATCATCATCACCGACAACAAAAGCAACAACAACTCTCACAGCAACAATAACAACACCACCATCGTCAACATCATCATCATTAACAACAACAACAACAGTCCCCACAACAACAAATCGCTCATCACCAACATCAGCTGATCATGAGGTCAGTTCCAAACAACAACAACAACAACATGGGTCAAGAAGGTCAACTTCAAGATCACCACCAAACTCACCACTAGAACCCGGAAGTAGAAACACATCACCAATGAGCCATCAAGACATTAAAACCAACGATTCTTCCGGTGGTGATTTATCAGATAGAGATTAAATTATCATCAACTCTAATTGCAATTAGATTTTAAATTGTTCAACACTTTAAACCTTCATCTTAAGTCAACAATTTAAATTGTGACAATTAAAATGTTTCTTTTTTTCTGTGTGTTGAGTGTTAATCAACTCCCCCGCTCCTCTCTCTCTCTCTTTATTATCTTCATTAATCATCTTTACTGATAATTAACAACAATTTGTAAATAATCATCTTCAACAATTAAGCAGAAAAACAAAACTCAATCATGATCTTAATCATCACAATTATCATCAACAAAACAATAAGGACTTAATTTGAAACTTGTGCTTGTTTGTATAACTGTTACAATTTAAATTATTAATTGTAACTGATAACAATTAACTACAATCAACTATTGGAAATTTTCTCTTTTCTATTTCTAAATTAATTGTAATCAAATCTAATCCCGAAAACAATTAACTCTCAAACTAAATTATCTCACTCAAGCTCTTCATATTATCCCAGAGACAAATTAATACGACAAAATTTGATTAGATTTTTTTTTTGTTATCTCTACTTATAACATGTATTATTAATTATTACCAATTAATTAGTTGATCAGTTAATCATGAAACATTCAAATTAAGTATCATAATTATTATTACTATTATTATATGAACAAAATTACCAACAATTAGTTAATTAATTAGTTAACTTAATAAGAAGACAAATTTCTCATGCAAATATTATATTAAAAAAAAACCACAAACAATTAAAAAACGTAACAATTAAATTGAATTGTGAAAGGTCAGCTAATTGCCAATTGATTATTGATTAATAATAATGATACTTTGATTTAGTTAATTGTCACAATTAAAATGTTTTTTTCCAAATTTTAATTTAGTTTCTCATCTCTTTTTTTTTGCTCGAAAACTTTTTCCAACTTTAATTTATCAAACTCTCATCATCGTCATCATCATCTGCGAACTCACAATTAAATCAATAAAGGAAGAGAAATCAACATCTACGATTATCAATTTATCATCATCATTAGAAGACTTTTTTTAATCATCATCATAATGATCATCATGATAATCGATGATTCTTATTATTTAATCATATTCAATTCTGTAAAGTTCAACATTTTTACTGATCATCATCATCCCTCATCTTTATATCATCTTCCTTTATTTGGCAATGGATTGAATCGTGATGATGAAGAAGATGATGATGATGATGATGATGGTCATCTCTCTCTCTCCCTCTGAATGTCACCCACCACACCCGCTCTCTGATAACGTAACTACGTACAATAATATACAAAAGAAACACAATTAAAAGTCAACAATTAAAAATCAACAAGTGGTTATATTAACAATCATTGCGAGTTCATTGTTATTTCAAATGTTTTGCATTAATTATCACGATCAATGACAATTAGTAAGTTACAGTTGATTTGGTTAATTGTTTTGTAAACAATTTGCATAGTTCATTCAACTTTTATTTTCATTGATTATAATCATGATTTATAAATGATACTATTAATATTTACACATTTGATTGTAAAACTTTGCCAAGAAAAAAAAAACTCAAATTCGAGATGAAAATTGGCAAAAGTAAAGTAAATTAATCATCAAGATGATTATTATCTTGATTATTGTTGAAACTCATGGAAATCCTAAAATAATCAACTTAATCATTTACTGTTTTTCTGCCAATTAGTTGTGTGAGTTAGTCTCAATCAAATTAATATTAATCAACAACAATATTGTTTTTGTTTTGTGTACAATAGGATGAGAGCAGCAAAGTTTACATAGTAAGGTAATGGAAATGATAAAAAAAAATCAACTTGGTTTTTTGCTCATCCTCATCCTCATCATCAGCAATTCAATATAATTGGTTTTGTATTAGCATATATACACTGTGATGATGCAAAAAAAAATGATTCACAAGCTATTGATTGTTTAATGCTCATTTGGATGATGTTGGTTAATTGTTGGGGTAAATTAAACAATCCAATTAAGGAAACAGAAAGAGGCAAAAATGATTATCCTAAAAAAACTGTAACAATCTGATGATAATATTTTAATAATAACTTATGATGATAATACAAACTATTTCATACATCGTGAGTGAAAGTGAGGTGGAGGTGGAGGTGGAAGATAAGAGAGAGAGAGAGAGAGAGAGAGAGAGAGAGATGTTGAGACCACAAAAGGTTAACATGTATAAAAGTTACATCGAAATGAATAGAAAGAGAGAGAGAGTGAGTGAGAAAAAAGCTCAAAGGTCTTCATCATCTTCCTCATCATTTTTATCATCCTCATCATCCTCATAGCGTGATGACATTCAATGGTAAAAGGGTTAAACTGTCTTATACATATATGAGTAAAAAAAATGGTGGCAAAAGGATGAGGATGCTAAGGATCACATCAGTTACACACAGAAGATGAAGATGAAAAAATCTTTCCAGGAAAATTTAATTAATTTGATGACAAAGACAGTCTTTTAATTAATTAAAACAGGAAAACAATGAAAATGGGTTACCATGTAATGGTGTTTGTTTTTTATACATAAATATTGTTGATTACACTTGAAGGCTTATAAACATTTGTAACAATCAAAACAGAATCAAAAAAAAATTCATTTCTACCAATCAAATGAATAATCAAAGATAAAATCTAATTATTAATACAACTGAATCATATTATCATCATCATATTGATAATTATTATTACTCCCAAGGATGAATGAAAAAAGTGTCAAAATATTAAATTCATTAAATTAATCATGATTAGTTGATTGTTATTATGTGACAACGGTTAAAGTTTCATTTGTATTGAGACAATAGGTTTCCCATTGTCTTGATTGTTACCCAATTGTTATTAAAATACAATTAAGCCTTTTCATGAAAAACTTATAACCCCATTGAGAATCAACAATTAATGAATGAAATTAATGAATATGATAATTAACCAACTCACACACACACAAGTTTAATTTAATTAAGTTTGTGTAGTAATCATTTTTTTGACACTTTTTGTTTTCTTGTCATCACTTTAATTGTCATCTTAATCAACGGAATATATTTTAATTGTTGTGGAGTAAAAATTGAGAGATAATTTAAATTGTCATCATTTTTTTTTTATCGTGAATTAAAATTGATATTAATTTGATTTAGTGAGAAGGACGAAAAAAAATCTTATTTTCTTTGCCTAAATTGTATCATTAGTTTTAATTATTGATGATTATTGTCAAGATTATCATGATAATCATCAATATCTTGATCACTCTCTCATGGGAAACATTGAAAACCAATTGAAATGATTGTAAAAGTTTCATCTTCATCTTCATCTTAATCTCACTTTTATCACCATCATCATCATGAATGATGAATTGAAATTGATTCTTGATGATCAAATATCATGGATGTTAAAGTAATTAAAATTTTCTGTTGATTGTTGATAAATATTTTTTGCCTTCTATTGATTGTCATCGGAAATGTTTATTCCCATCGTTCATCATCCTGATCAGCTGAAGTAATCGAGATGATTAAAGATGAAATTGATTCAGATTCTTGATCCATTGAAAATCAATTTCTACCTTATGATTAAATTGAATTGAACATTGGATTGTCAAGAATTTACAATTTTTTCATCTTCTTTTCTATTTCCTAACATTTTTCAAAAGTAAGCAGAAAAAAACAAGCCTATCAATCATTTATCATTCTCATTCTCATTCTCATCCTCGTCATCTTCATCCTTAGAATCATCAATATCCTCCTCATCATCATCATCATCATTCAGATAATATGAATATACAAAACTCGAGACTTTCAAATTGAACTTGAACACTAATCAAATGCTCAAGAATAACGACAAAGTTGATGATAGAATCAGGAACCATTGATTGTCAACGATTGATGAAAACAAAACTAGAGCAATTGTTGATCATCTTGATAATCATGATGATAGAATCACAATTGACTTGGTAATCAAATTAAATCATTTTCTATCAAATGAAAACGTGATTCAGATCCAAATTGTAACAACAACAATTATCATATTAATGAATATCAATTATAATCATCAGTTCGTTGCTTATCTTGTTGTTTATTCACGCAATCTGTCAGTCTTTGTATTCATCCTCATCCTCATCCTTGTCTTCATCTTCATCATGAATAAAACTTTTTACTTTACCTGAATCAAAATCATCATCAAGTTATAACCATTAAGTTTACCTTTGTGCTAAATCAGTTATGATGATAACAATGGGATGTGACTTATCATCATCAGTAATAAACTGATATATTGAACAATTGAATTGATTGTTAATAGTAAGATGAAAAAGTTTTGCTTTTCTTTCCTGATCATCATATTTTCATCATCATAATCCGTGACTATCCTGATGATGATAATGATGCTTTTCAATTTCATTATTATGGTGGAAACCACATTCAATTGCTGTAATTAAAATGGTTATTTAAATTCAAGTTTAATTGTTATTGTTACACAAAGGAGATTTAAAGTTCATTAATGATAAATTTAATAATAATCATCATTATATCTGGAGAGTTGATATTAGATGTTAATTGTTGCTGCTGTTTGTCTGTAAATGAGTATATTAATCAAATGGTAAAAAGTTAATGTAAACTTTTTTCAACTTTAATTTTTTGATTGTCAACAAATAAAAATTGATAAAGATAAAGATGATAAATTGAACCATTATGATGATGAGCCTAAGAAAAGGATGATAAGGTGGATGCGGAAATATGATGGATAAAAAGTCATAAAATCGTTTACAAGGTTAAGTTGATGTTATGTTTACATAAGAAAATTTTTTATTCATTGTTAATGGACACAAGAATGAGCAGTTTTATCAGATGATGATAATGATGATGATGATGATGATGAGGATAGGGAAGATAAAAAAATGGAAAGTGAAAGATGATGATAATTTGCATAACTTTATCTTCTCTCTTTCTTTTTGCCTCAAAGATGAAGAGCAAAGGATGAGCAGAGAGAGAGAGAGAGAGAGAGAGAGAGAGAGAGAGAGAGAGTAGACAGATATAAATGGACAGATGAATATCATCATCATGGATAAAGATACAAGGGAGGATGAGGATGAAGATTAAGGTTGGGGTTAAAAGTGCTGATGATGACTGGAAGTGTTTACAATAACAGCGGCTATGGATTTGAAATCATTTGTATATCATCAGTTATGATGGATTACATTTGATTGAATCATACAGTTTATGCAATAATGATAAAAAATAAGGATGATGATGATAAAAAGGTTTACTCTCTCTCTCTCTCTCTCTCACTAACTCACTCTCTCACTGAATGTGTTGGTTAGTTTGTAATTGAAGCCTCTGGTTACCATTCATTTGGGTTTGACTCTTTGTTTATTGAAAATGTTTTCATAATAATGGAGTTACAATCAAATCTAATAATAAGCAACAGCCAAAGATGATGATTATCATCAAGATGATGATGAGGATGATAATATCACTAATAAAAAATATACTAAGATCAGCATCACATTATATTTATTCAAAGTGACATTGATTGATTATTTGTGAAAAAAAACCTAATATATTGTCACATTTTAAGAGCCTGAGGAAGAGATGATGAAGATGAGGATGAAGATGATGAAGTAAGTACAATATGAAAATGGGTTCGATTTTTTTTGCTCTTCTTAATCTTCTTTTCATCTGCTTCATCATCTCATTCACACAAACAATAATAAGAAAAAAGAGAAAGAATAAAAGAAAAAAGAAAGTTCTTTTCTTCTTTAAATTTTCCATCAATGAATTTACTATGAATGAGAAAACTGAATGGAAACAAACACAAATATCAGAATCTTTTTCATGGAAAATTATTCATCATCATAAGTCACCTTAATCTTAACCATTGATACTTTATAAATTGTGATACACGTTGAACTGAATTACATTTAATTTGATTACTTCTAATTGTTTGATCGGATCGTTGAATTGTAAATGATCAAGTGGACAAGAGAGAAAGTGAAAATTCTGGTGAAAACTTTTGGTTCCAAATATTTTCAGGTAGAAAAGAATAATTTTCTTCTTTCTTTTCTTTCTCTCTTCTCTTCCAATCATACCTTCCGAATACAAGATGTAACCTCCTTCTTACAACGCTCTCTGATTTACCACCCACTTTCTCGCTCCTCCCATTTTCTTAAGTAATTCCCTTTAAATCTCTCTCTCTCTCTCTTTCTTTCTTTCTTTCTTATGCAAAAAACTCCTCCTTCCCTTTTCTCGTCTTTCTCTTACTTTTGGTTATCTTCATCCTGATCTTCATCATCTTCATTGGTCCCTCAAGATATTTGATTTCATCCGAAATCAATTGTAGCCTTTTTCAATGGAAAACAATTAACAAGCAACAATTTAGTTCATTCATTCAAAAAGTTAATCATTTTCTAGACTTTTTTTCGTTCATCGTTAAAACTCATTAAACTTTTTATTTCACTTTTTAAATTTGTTGATTAAAATACTTTTAATAAGTTCAATCAACTAATCAATTCACTTCTCAGACTATTTAATATTATCGAGAGGAAATAAATTAAATTTTCACTTTTGGAAACAATTTGTTAATTAACTTTTCATTAATTTCTTACATTATACTGATCAATGAAAAGAGAAAAATTTTGTTCCAAAGAAAGTGGATAAAAGGGAGTGGCAATCAGATGAGATTCTAATTGTTTCGTATTCACCTTGAGAGAGAATTTTACTATTCTAAATCAGTGAGAACTTTCTAGTCAATTTGATGATCACTTTGAGAATTATGATAAGCGAAAAAAAAAGAGAAAAAAAATCACGATAAGAACGAAATCGTTTGTAGAATTTTCATCTTTCGTTTCCATGGAAACAATTACCAATTTCGTCATCAATCATCAATACAATTTCCTAGTGAGTGGATGAGAGTTAAGTAAGTAAGGTGGAGATGACAAAGAGAGAGAGAGAGAGAAAAGGATGAAGATGATAAAGTTAAATGGACTTGAGATAATATTTATTTTTTTCTCATTCTGTTGACCAACAACAACTATCGGATGAAGTGTGATGATGGTGAAGGAGGAAAATGATGAGGATGAGGAGACAAGATAACAGAAAATACTGTTTACACTATTAGGGAGCATCTTTGGTTTTCCTTTACATCATCATCTCACTTTATCTCTCTCTCTCTCTCTCTCTCTCTCTCTCTCTCTCTCTCTCTCTCTCTCTCTCTCTCTCATGTTATCGTTCTGAGAAAGGAAACATTTTCTGTCTTCATCATCTTAAACCATCGGAAGAAGTTTATCATCTTCACTTTCTTTTTTCCTTCATCATCATCTTTGGTCTTTTTTTATGCTTCTCACTCGTCGATTGATTTTCAGCTCTCCCCACTCATCCATTGGTCAACACATGAATAGATTTCATTCCTCGACTGGACAAATTGTCCATTCAATCAACACTATCCCTTCATCATCTTTTTTATCCTCCCTCTCACTCTCTCATCATCATTCACAATCACATCTTGTTGTTATATCACATCAATCAACATTCAATCAACAAAACTGTCAACAATTTTATCCTCCATCAGCATTACCCTCATCATCCTTTATTCAATGTCCATCCACAACCAGACAACAACAACAACAAAAAATGCTAATCCTCACAATTAACTAATGACCAACTTAAATCTCAACAATCAGTTAGATTATCATCTCGTATAATCAACACAAACCCAATGAATACTCAAATTAAAAACTAAATCAAATAAATTAAACCCACACAATTAAATCTAATTGAAAAAAAAGTCCCAACACTAATCATTATCAAAAAAAATTCAACTACTAAACTGATGATGAATAATATCAAATTACCGTTATAATGATTATCACAATCAACGTAAATAATAATAATAGAGCAATAATTTAAAAAGCAAAACCTAATGAGCACAATTAAAGATATTAAATCAGTTATGTGACACCCAAATTATGATACAATTGATCATAAACAGATAATCATTAACAATCAATGATAACTTAATTCACTGGGCCAAAACTATTGATTTAATAACATTTTTAATGGCTAATCAACTTTTCAATCCTCATGTGTGATAATAAAATAATCATAATCATCACCATCACCATCATAATAACAATAATCAAACCTTGAATGATAATAATAAGGAAAAAAACTAAAGTAAATGTTATTATTATTAGTTGATTGTTGATTGTTGTCTCTTATATTATTTATCAACAAACCAGCAAAAAATAATCATCATTTTTATTATATTACTTTGTTGTTTTCTGTAAACATTAACAATCAGCTGTAAATGGGATAATCATGATAATAATTGATTCTTATGGGAGTAATAATATTATCTTCAAATATAATATAATAAAAGTGACAAAATAGATACTAATTTATGTGAATATCATTTTACTTTAATATAAATTGTTGTGTTTCCATCAGTTTCCAATGGTTAACAATTAAATTTCCCTTTTCCTTTTCCTTTGTCGTTGAATTGGAAAACTTTTCAACTTCTTGATTGTTGATTAAGTTAAAATCAAATTGATTAATCTATTATTTGGATCAATCTTTGTTTCTCCCCCTTTTTATTTTTGTTAATCATCTTGATTAATGTGCACTACTAACTATTAATAATAATGTAATTAAAATGTAATTATCTTGATATTATTGAGTAGTAGTTAAGGTAATGATAAAATAATAATATATTGCAATTAAATGAGTTAGTTAAATGTTATTGTTGTTATTACATTTAAAAAGAGGAAGATGAGAAAAGGAGAGTGAGTGAGTGAGAGAGGACTCATTCTTTTTCCACTCAATCTTATCTTCCTCTGAATGATGATGAGGTGATGGTGGTGGTGATGATGATGATGGTGGGAGAAGAGGAAGAGGAAAGGATGAGGAAGATTATTTTTCCATTGCCACTTCAAGTCTCCCCCTCCCTCACTGTTTCTTTCTCTCTCACTCTCACTCTTCCCACCCACTATTACTTAATATTGATTCCTCTTCCTACTTTCTCCTTAGACTTGGTTAACTTTTCTGGTTTAAAGCAATTAATAAAGACATCAATCTTATGGAGTTGCAAGAAGAAAAAAAAATCATCATCATCAAGGACTTTCCAATGACAAATTTAGCATCATCATCTTTAAAAATTACTCCCTCATCTTTTTCATCTTTAGTCATCATTATTATCATATTCATCATCAATTTCATCTTCATCATTCTCATTTCCAATGTTATCTTTCCAACTTTTCAGATTATCTTCATCACTCTCTCTCTCTCTCCCTTATCATCATAATGATTTGCATCTCTCACTTTTTTTTCCAACTCTTCCTGCTCACCCTTTCATCCTTTTTTATCAGCATCTTCATCAACATATTTTATTACATAATATCTTTTTCTTCATCATCTTCATGAAGCTTTTCTGATAAAGTCATTGTTCATTGAACCAACACCCACAATAGATTCAATTGTTATCGTTATTTTTGATTCCATTAGAACCTTTTACTTTCTCGAGAATTCAAAAATTCTGATTATTTATTGTTTTACTTTTTTTTCTTCATCCTCTTCCCCTCATGATAACATCATGATTACCATGAACTATCATTATATTATTATTAATCTTAATGGAGGAGGTTACATGATACAACAAAAGGTGAGAGTCTTGATAGTTGTTTCAACATTTATATATATTTTTCCCATGGTAACTATTCAGTGTTGCATGAAATTGAATAGGAAAATGAATGAAACATTTACATGTTACAAATGTTTCATTCATGATTATCTTCATCATCATCATCATCATTTACATAACTTCAAATAGTAATAATAATCATATGAAAAATATGATGATGAGATAATCTAAATGAAACCCATGAAACATTGAATATCATGCAGAAGAAGAAAGAAAAAGTCAAATGATCATTTATAAATAAATCGTAAGTAAAGATACAGAGAAAATTTAAATTTCAGATTCAATAGATTTTTACATCTTTATCATCATCATCATCATCTTCCTCTTTCTCTTCATCATCAACACCATCATATTCATCCTAAGCATCAATTGCAAACACTTTTTTAGTAAAAAAAGTTTACCTTTTCAAATTGAGCCTCAAATGGCTCATAAAATGAGCAACATCAATTGATATCATTGCAACATCATCATCATCATCCTAACCCACCTTCAAATGATATTTATCTATCATCTCTCCCTCCCAGATGATGATAAAAAAGAAGAGGGAAAATATTCTGTTTAGTTGATAAAAACAACACAAACTCGTAAAGTACAAAAAATACTCATAAACTATCATAAGTAACTGTATATAAATCTAATGGTATGCAAACACACTTTATGTCACTTACCTTTTTTTTTCATTTTGCATATACACTTTTCCTCCATAATCATCATCATCTTCATACTCATCATTATCATCCTTATCCTCCATCTCTCTCGGTTTTACCATCACTTGGCTCATAACTGTTTAAGTTTTTTTTATCAGCTTTGTCTTTTCCATACATATAATATATTTGGATCCACTTTGATTTAACCTTTGTTTTGATTTATAACAAGAAAAACGTGAAAACTTATTAGTCTAAAAGTCATTGATCAAAAGTAACGGTTAATTGCATTATTAACTTTTTCATTCACAATTATCATTAGATTGTATTGATAAGCACGTCTAGAGTATGGTTGTGAAAACAATGAGTTAATATGCAAATCAATTTACAATCAATTTAACTTTTTCTTTCACTTCATTGGTTATTTCAATTGATTGATTGAAAAGCTTCATGATAAGTAATAACATTAACAATATTTTTCCCAATTCAATTTAAAATCATTGAAATTTAGTTTTTACTTATAAATTATTATCAAAAATATTTTACACTCTACATACCTAAGAATCAAGAAAGCATCATGATTGTAATAACATAATTGCAAATTATTTGAATCAATTCAATCACCTTTATCCCCATCATCATCCTAAATCCTTGGCTCTCCTCCTCATCCGCATCCTTTTTTCATCCTCCTCAATTTATGTAACCCTTTTGCTGTAATAAAAAAAATACTAACCCAGTGAAACCATTTAATGCTTTGTTTTGTAAATGTTATCAACTCTTTCAAGCGTCAAAATGCAATGGAAACTAATACAACTCCTTTTGTTTGATTGTTAACAATCAAATGCATAAATATATTTGCAGTATTAAACGATATCCATTGCAATAATCAAGGTTATCAATTGCCGAAAAACATTCAGGAATTAATAAGTGTGCAGAATGAGAGGTGGAGAGAAAAAAATCCCAATGATAAAACGTCCATTTATATGAATGTTGATAATCAGCATTTAATGTCTCCCGCTCGATGTGTGAGTTGTTTTTTTTATGTAACTTGGATATTTCATTGTTGAATTGGTTTGCTGATCTTTTCCCTTTTGATTGTTGTGATTGTATTGAATTTTCTGAAATGATTAGCATCAAATACTATCAAGGGGTGGAGGTTAAACTGGTCCAAGAGTGTAAATGAGATTGTCAGAAACAAACGCCGCCAATTTTACAGGGATGTGCAAGAAGAAATCAGTCTTGTCCTCATACTCTATTCATTAGTATTATCCCTTTGGATCCACATGCACAGACATCTAAACATTACCACCACCGCTCACTGGAGAGAGGGAGAAAGAGAGAGAAACGTATGATGAGAATCAAAGGGTTAATATTGCAAATCCAATGTTGTTGCATGTTGCAAATCAATTCAATTGAAGACAATTGTGTGTAAGTGTAACTGGAGACATGATAAGATGAATTTTTTATATACATTCATTGTTTTGGGAATTGAATGATGATGACGGAGAGGGAATCAGGGATGATGAAGATAAAAGATGAGGATGTTTTTTTTGTTATGTTTGAAATGAGAAAAAAAAAGACGAATGAAAAAAACGAAGAGTTTGATAAGGTTTGGTTGGAGAAAATTTAATTAGAGAAGAATCAGAATCTATGTTGATTAATTAATTGATTAACCAAGAATCTCTATTTAATTTCCGTTCTCTTATTATTATTAGCATTGTTTTCCTCGTCATCATCTTCATCCTTCATTCATCTTTTACACTATTCATTTGCATCTTCATCTCTCTTTCTATTTTTCTTCTCATCATCATCATCTTTTCACACTTGTTATTCTCTCTCTCTCTTTTCATCATCATCTTCATTCAATCATCTTTCTTTTTAATTAATATCATTGTCTAGTGTGTAGGGTGAGACAATTTAAATTAAAAATTGAAAATGATTAACTATTGTTAACAATTAGATTGAAGTTTGTTTTTCTCTTGTTGTTTTGAGTTGGAACACTTAAAAACAACACAAGGATTGGTTATCGTTCAATTATAATGTTAATTGTTGTTTTCTGGTTACAATTGAGAAATTGATATTAACTGTTAATTAATGTTTGCTAATTTGATTTATCGGCGATAATAATAATAATAACTCTGAGTATATTTTTTTTTCTTCTAATCATTAATGATGATGATAACTCTTGGTACATGTTTTCCAATTGTTTTACTTTCTGTGAACTGTAATCAATTTAATCAATACAAAGTTATCATTATCAAAAATGATTATAATTATTATTACTATTTTAATGAAGAATTGAGAGAGAGAGAGAGAAAAGTAAAGAAATATCAAATTTCCCTCCTCTTTTTGCAAAAGGTAACCTTTCCTTAAAGAAGGAGGAGATTCCTTAATGAAGAGTAATAATTAATTGTAATTTGTTAATGTTTCTTGTTATTTACCTTTGTTACCTTTTCCTTTACTTGATGATGTGAGATTAACTAATAAGAAACTGGCTCGTCCCATCACATTGCCCTCAAGGAGATGATGATAACTAGAAGTTGTAATAATGATAATTTCCAACATAGAGAAGACCAAGATGATGATGATGATGATTACAGTGATTCCCAGGTTGGAGTTTAATGAAAATTTTGAGTTTTTTTTGCTGAAAAAAAAGAAGTTATTTTTTATTATTAAGAGAAAAGAACAGAAAAAAAGAACTTGAAAATAATTCTTTCTCTCTCTCTATTTTAAGAGGCGTTTAAGTTATAATATGAAATTAATTGATCTTAGAGAAAGTGAATTCTAGAGATGTTTAATTTACATACATGGATGGAAAAAGAATAGAAAGAAAAATTATGATTTAAGATGAAGGTTAATAAACATTTTAAATTGTTTCGCTTCTAGTGGAGTTAATATGTGTTATTAATGGTGGAAAACAAAAGGTGATAGTTAATATTGTCATTTAATTGTAGTAATGAAAGTGGATTGTGTTTATTAAGATAATGGAGTTAATTTTAAGGAGAGAATAATTTTAACGAAATTAATCTAATCATTACAAAGAGAGAGAGAGAAGGAAATAAATTTAGAAAACACTGATGAGGTTTGCTTGTTTTTCTATGTGTTTTTTTTGTTCTTTTCACTGGCAAATTTTAATTGAATTAGGAATTAACTCTTTGCTTGTTGTTTTTTTTCTTCTTCATCTTTTCCACTCCCTCTCTCTCTCTCTCTCTCTCTCTCTCTCTCTCTCTCTCTCTCTCTCTTGCAATCTGGGGTATGATTGACAGTTAATTGACTTCAATAGTGAAGAGAGTTAACTAACTGTTAGGAGTGAGTGTGTATGTTTAACTGATGATTAGTTGATACAACTTACTGTTTAACTAAACAATTACAAGTTTCTTAATTGTAATAGTTGTTGGTTGAACCGCTCCTTATTTAATTCTTGTAATGAGCTGTTGTTGGTTAAATAAAACGAGAGAGAGAGAGAGAGATGGAATAGGAGATTAAAGATGCAGAAGAAGAGAAAAGGATAGAAGAAAACAAAAGAGAAAACAACTTACCTTTTCTTTTTTACAACAAGTTTATGTGTGTGGATTAAAATTAAGATGGAGAAGGTTGATTTCCTTTTCTACTCTCTATTTGTTTCTGTTTTTTAAAACAAAACATTGTGTTCATCTTTATCTCTATCATCAGTATCATCTCCATCTTCATCTCTATCATAGTTCTATTCTCATCTGCCTCAAAGAGAGAGAAAGTATATTCTTCCAACTCCTCCTTCCATTGCAAAGGTAAAAGGTAGAAGGAGGAGGAGGAGGAGGCAGATAAGAAAACAGAAGATGATGAGGCTAAGAAAGAAATAGAAGATGAAGCTTTTTCTTCTCTCTCTCTCTCTCTCTCACTCACTATTTGTTCATATCCTGAAGGTAAAAAAATTACAATGTAATAGTTGTGGAGGATAATGTAACTTGTAGTAGCTTGTCACATGAACTAAATCAAGTAGAAACACATTAGCACCAAAATAACTGGTACCAATTTCACGGTTCATAATAAACTAATCACAATACTAATTAATTGTTCTACTTATTCCATGTAATGAGTACTAATTGTTTCCATTGACAAAAATAGAGAAAACAAAGATGTGGGCTAAACAATCACTTAATTGTTGAGAGAAACAAGAAAAAGGAAAAAATCAAAATAGAAAATGAAAATATCGATATCGATAAAAAGATAACGAATCTTAGTCCTGATCTCAAGTATCGTTTTCGGTTTGAAATTCAAAATTTGAATTTCAAATTTTTAATTTTCTTCTTTTAATTGATTAATTAATTAATTGGTTTCTTTTTTAGTTGATTAATTTGATTGTTAATCTCTTCGTTTGGTGAATTTAATTCTATCTGGATCTTAGCTTTGTTCTAATTGGAACAATTATCATTGGTGAGCGTTTGTTTTTCTTTTGTTTTTATTTTTCTCTTTTTTTCTAAATCATTTTTTATTCTATTCTCTTTTTGTTTTATATAGAAAATGGATTTTTTTTTCTTCTGAATTTGTCTATGTGTTTGTCTCGCTCACCCATTTGGTTTTATTCATCGATGTTCCTGTTTCCATGTTATTCAGAGTAACGGATTGATGATTCTAAATACAATTACCAAGAAGAAAACAATATGCTCGATGGTTTATGGTATTGTTATTGTTTGGAATTATTTTACTAGTAAAATTGTATGAATATGAATGTATTCATAAAAAAAGGTGATAGTGTGAGGATGTAGATGAGATGAGCTGAGAGAGAGAGAGAGAGAAGAAAAAAAAATGAGTATGAATAAGGAAGAGAAGGAAACAAAAGGATTCGCCATGATGATGGAGAGAAAAAAATGTTTAAGCTTTAGTATTAAGCTTCATAATCATTGATCTTGATTCTCAATCCTTTTATCATTCTCACCTTCATCATCTACTCTCACTCACTATTTCATCATTATCATTATGGAAAATCATTCCAAGCCAATGAATCTTCTTCCCCATCATCATCATCATCATTTTCCATTCAATTCTCTTTTCTTTTTTCTAATGAAAAGAGATACTTTTTTAATTCATTTGACAATAACAGTCTCTGAGCTTTTCTACCTCCGTTATGTGAGAAATGAGAGAGAAAAAATTGAAAATGATGATCATGATGATAACTCTCCCAATACTAAATGAATACAATTCTCAGTCTAAATCCTCTTTGATGAAATCTTGCTCCATCTTCATCTCCCATCTTATTAATAGTTTATACACATTTCCGATCTTCAATTTGTTTCTACTTACATTTTAATGATAAATTATTATTCTCAGTAATCAAAGTGTTCAACCAGTTTAATCGTACGCCTATTATATTACATTTTTCATTCATTTATCATTAATTCTGGTGAAACAAATGATTAACTACCATTTCCTTTAACACTATTGTTTTTACTTCTATCAATATAATCATCATCATCCTCATCATTTACTCCACTTTAGAAAACAATGATGATAGAGATGATTACACATAAAAGTAACACAATATTATTCAATGTTTAATATTTTATTGTAAACGTTAAATTGTTCACTATTTGAGTAATAATAATCTATTATTGAGATGATGAAGGATAGAAAGAGAGTGAGAGATGAAGATACAATTGATTGGATTGACTGTTACAATTTACGGTAAATAGTCAACGTTTATTGTTAACATTTATACTTTATGATTACCGTTATGTTATCAGGAAAACAATCAATTTTATTAGAATATAATATTTTCTTTTTTTTCAAGGTTAATCTAATATTATTATTTTTCTTCCCATAGTAAACTATTGATGCCCTTAAGCCTTATTCACGGGAATGATTGAGTATTTATGGTTTTGATAACAAGAGTCAAGATTATCAAACATGAGCCATGAAAATGACCTGAATGTGAATCATCAATATCGAGAAAATTGAATGAATATTAAAGTCACCAAATCAACAATCAAATCTATTGGATGGTGGATAATATTAAATGTAAAAGAAAATAACAAAGATTATTACACAGTTTATCATCAATTTTGGTGGACAAGTTATCACCACCAATCATCATCATCATCATCATCGTGGGCAATACTATCAAAAGTAACTACCAACGTCATCATCATGATCAATTGAAGTGAAATGGATGAGGAATGAAAAATTATCCTGAAAGATTGGTAACAAAACCCATTGGATTACAGGAACCATATGATAAGACGCTGTTGATGGTAAAATGATCATTAATTTATATATAAACTGGAGGAAAAGTGAAAATAAAGGTGTTCACAATCAACTGGATCATTAAATTGTTGTTTGTTGGGTCAAGCATAAAGTCTGTTTTAAATGGTCAACATGATTCTCGTGGTAAATTGTCACTGGTGTTAAATTGGTAAATGATTGTGGTCAATCTTACAGACACACTAATATCCACTTAATCTGTATCAAGGTGAATTTGTATTTTCAATCGTGCATCTAAATTGTTTATCACAAATTAGTTTAATTGGGATTATTTTCATCTTCTCTTGTCTCATCATCATCACGACACAAAACTATGACGATAAACTATTACCACCAACCTCCCATTTCCTATTTACCTCTGGATCTCTCGATTTCACTCACGAGAAACAATAATAATCAAATAGTGAATCAAAATCTCATATCAATTTCAATGTTTCTTGTGTGTTTGTTTAGTTTTAAGTGGTAAAATCAACATCATCTTAAAGCTAAAACTTTTAATAAGTATATAAATATATACACCATGGTGGAAAAAATGAAAACAGAGAAATCATATTAAGTCTGTGAAACTGAAAATTTGAGATAAAACAGAAAATAAGTTAAGTCACTTAACTGTTATACTTTTTTTCACCAACCTTTTATTAAGCTTTTATTTTTGTTCTTCTCATCCATCTTTTCTTCCTCATCATCCTCATCAACATCTCTCTCTCTCTCTCTCTCTCTCCTCCTCCTCTTTTTCTAGTATCACTTTTTTTTAATAATCATAATACACTGAATTGTATTCAAAAGCAAAAACACAGAGACCAACAACTCATATTGTCTCCAATTCATCATCCATCTTTTTTCTCATCATCTTGTCTCTCTCCCACTCTCATTGACTGTTCTTGCTCTCTCTCTCTCTCTCTCTCTTTGGTGTTTATCTTCATCATCTTCCTGATTCTACAAACAAACAATTTAAATTCTGTTACTTTTTTTTATAGCATTTTATAGTTTACAAGTTATCTGATTTTGGATTGAAAATGAATTCAGAATGAATTTAATGTTAGAAAACAAATAATCACAGTAAACACACTGAAATCTGTCATGATGACGAAGATGATGATTCCCTTCACCCTCCCCATACCTAATCCATATCCATTGTAAATGTCAATTAGTTTCAAGTACCAAGTTTGTTGTTAAATTGTTATGATGCTAAAAAAAGATGAGTTTCCCAAAAATCTGTTAATCTGTAAACATTATCATATGTGTATTTGCCTTTTATCACCTTCCTAAGCCTTTGAATCCTTGTTTCCCTTTTTTTCTGTGTAATAATATGTTATCATAATCACCACTATCATCATATGGAACATCATCTACCACCGCATCATCACACAAACTGTCAACAAGCAAGAAGACAAGGAAGATAATGATTTTTTCTACAAAATCAAGTCAATATAACGAAATGAGTTTGAGGTAATTTTTCAGCGCAGCAAAGGTGATAACGATCAATTTCAATTTCAAGTTCAAGCTTTTCAAGATTCAAAACTTATCTGTTATCCGTCATTTAAACTAATTGTGTATTTAATACACACACACTCATCAACATTATCATCGCCATCATCATCATAATTATCATCATCCCTTTTTTTGAATGAATCTCCTTTTGCTTGACTTGACATTTTGATGATTTCATGGTAAATCTTGAATCTTTTCACTGTTGTTGACCTTACATATATATAACATTTTGTTTATCTAAACTGTAAAAAAGGGTCACGATGATGAATAGAGGGATGATGAAGATGATGATGATGATGATGATGAGGAGGCAAAAGAGTTGAATTTATATATAAAAGTTGAGACAAAAAAACTTCAATTGTAAGTTACAAGACAATGGATTGGATGTTGACATTGTGAAAATTTACCAACGACAGCTAAATGTTGGTATTGTTGAGCAATTGTTTTGTAAATGAAGGTTGACTGATGATGATAATGATGATAATAATGATGATGACAAGATCCGATGAGCATAAATGGATGATTATTTGGTTTAGTAATTGCCTTTGGTGTGAGTGATTTAATCAACATGAAGCAAAAAACTGAGATTCAGTTATTAGGTATTGTATAATAACCTATGGCACAGCATGTGAACCTTTCACCATCTTAAACAGTGAGAATCAAAATTAAATTTGATTGTAATCAATTATTATTTTTTTCTTCATTGGATCTTTATGATTAACATGTATTGTTAACTGATTAACAATATATATTATGATTCTAATTGTAAATGATTAGTTGGAAAACTTTTTTTCTCCTGTTATTATCTTAATATCCACAGGATTTACTTAATCATTTCAAAGCCAATGGTTAACAATCAACTTTTTGTTTTTCCGTCTAATCGGATATCCTTTTAATTGATAACAGAATTAAGTTTAACTTGATTAACTTTTTCGATTGATTTACTCATAGAAACATTTGCAATTTAACTGAATTACTTGTTTACCTTTCGGCTGGTTGATTGCTCTCTCTCTCCTTAATCATCATCATCTCTTTATTATTATGAGAATATAATAATTTAAGATTAGTTTTGGAAAAATTTTCACTCCTATTGTGTTTGTCCACTACTGGTCATCATACTCCTTTGGTATTAAATTACTAGAAGCCTTTTGGTTAACCTTTACTCCCGGAATGTTGGATAATTATGATTATATTAATTTGATAGCGAAGAAAAAAATTTCCCATTGATTATTATGGTTGATGTATTGTTTTTACTGTAGTTAGTTTACCAAACCATATCTTGATTGATGTTCTAATTAATTTGGTCACAATCAAATAATAGTTTTCATATAATATAATTTGCTCATGTTGGTGAGGCAATTTCTTAATTGTTTGACCATTGTGAGAGATTCTTTGACCATCCAAGTAAATTTAATTGGGAAATCAATAAAGATTATATATTGTAGTTTATTAATTAACTAATTTGTGAGCATTTAACTTGGACTTTTATTTTCATCTTCATTTAATTTTTCAACTTGTATTGATATAAATTGTTTCTTGCACTTTTGTCAGTATTTGTAATTATTATTCTGTTAATTAAGGAAATTATCATTATGGTTAAACGAAATTGATTCAACAACCATTGAAAGTTTTAATCGGTTAACAATTACGATTTGATACTTATGGTGTTTCAATTGATTATCGCCCAAACTCGAGTCTGAAATCTAAATACTCAAAAACGAAAAAAAGTTTTTGCAGAAAACCTCATTGGAAACTTGATGAAATGTCCTGAAAAATGAGAAAAGTTGAGGTCTCTGGTTAATCTAAATTGTAATGTTATTTTCTGTTTCTGATTGGCGAAGGTGGAGATATTTTGGTTTTGATATTTATGTCCATCCTTAGTATTAGTAAATTTAGTAAATCCTTAGCTCTTTTAAATCACGAGTCAAAAGCTCGTATACCTGGAGAAAAAGAATTTTAAATTTTAAATGGTTTCGTAAATTGTTCAACAGATGGAGGCAAATGACGATTGAGTTAAAACATCGACTTGAAATTGTCTGATTGTTTTCGAATTTTTCTGATCTATTGTCGTCATCTGATGGTAAAAAAATAAACTATTTTGACTTTATCTCATTCATAAGAACCAAACTTTCATTCATTTGTTTTGTTTTATTGATTGTTAGGTTTTCCCGTTTGTTATTGTTACCGTAATTTAGTTTGCCCTTTTTTCACCTTTTACCTTTGATTGTTAAATCCTTCATTGTAAACTTAGCTAAGTTTCTATAAATTTGTAAGTGATTAAAGGAAATTGAATACAATCAAATAATTTATCAATTTACTTTTTTATTTTTTATAATCGATTTTGCGAAGTTACAATTCGGTATCAGTGTAATGACAAATGTTCATTTATTTTGGTAGCTAATCTTCCTGTTAGGATCATAAGGTTGTCGATAATCAGCTTCTGGCTTTCCGAGATCCTTATCTGCCGCTTTCTCTTCTGCAGTCCTAATATATGGTATTGTTTGAGGTATAATGGTTGTGGAAGTACCCACTTCAGCATTTCGGTTTTCTCGACGAATTCGACGATCAGGAGAACCTGCACTTTTTCCAATCAACATGGAAACAGTTACAATCACCATGACGAAGATGAAAATTGGAAAACTTTCATTATTAGATTTTCTTTTACTCGATAACAATTAAATTAGAAGATAACAATTCACAAGTAATGATAAATTTAAACTGATAATTTAACAGTGGAAAATTCACTTTTTATACTGCACTTTTCGGGTAAATAATCAAACATTTAACCAAGTGCAAATAAAGTTAATTTCCATTATTAAGTGTTTCCGTATCCTAAATTAATTAAACATACCTCTATTCTAATGAGATAATATTTGAAATAACACCAATATTTAATCATTTGCAGGTAACAAACTAATTGAACAGTAAGTGAATCTTTGTAGGGCACTTATACTGAGATTCAGTTATTAGGTATTGTATAATAACCTATGGCACAGCATGTGAACCTTTCACCATCTTAAACAGTGAGAATCAAAATTAAATTTGATTGTAATCAATTATTATTTTTTTCTTCATTGGATCTTTATGATTAACATGTATTGTTAACTGATTAACAATATATATTATGATTCTAATTGTAAATGATTAGTTGGAAATTTTTTTTCTCCTGTTATTATCTTAATATCCACAGGATTTACTTAATCATTTCAAAGCCAATGGTTAACAATCAACTTTTTGTTTTTCCGTCTAATCGGATATCCTTTTAATTGATAACAGAATTAAGTTTAACTTGATTAACTTTCCCGATTGATTTACTCATAGAAACATTTGCAATTTAACTGAATTACTTGTTTACCTTTCGGCTGGTTGATTGCTCTCTCTCTCTCCTTAATCATCATCATCTCTTTATTATTATGAGAATATAATAATTTAAGATTAGTTTTTGGAAAAATTTTCTCACTCCTATTGTGTTTGTCCACTACTGGTCATCATACTCCTTTGGTATTAAATTACTAGAAGCCTTTTGGTTAACCTTTACTCCCGGAATGTTGGATAATTATGATTATATTAATTTGATAGCGAAGAAAAAAATTTCCCATTGATTATTATGGTTGATGTATTGTTTTTACTGTAGTTAGTTTACCAAACCATATCTTGATTGATGTTCTAATTAATTTGGTCACAATCAAATAATAGTTTTCATATAATATAATTTGCTAATTTTTAGTTTTCCCGTTTGTTATTGTTGCCGTAATTTAGTTTATTTTTTTTTTGTTTTCGGGTGATTACGATGAGCACTTCAATGACTCAATTTCTCGTTATATTGTGATTAACATAATTTAGAAAAAAGATAAATTTTATTAAGTGTTACAATGAAATCTTTGCTCTTTTTTACCTTTTTCCTTTGATTGTAAACAAAAATTACTATCAACATTAGTGCAACTTATTGTTTGGAGGAAAAAAAAACTTCCCAAGAAAAAAATCCAAGTCCACATTACGTTTACATGAATGAACTTTACCCTAAAATTAACTTAATCTTTCACCTCATCTTCAGTTGATTCATCAAATTGTAAACGATTGCAGCTCAACGATTGTCTTTCAAATTTGGATGATTAAATTGTATCCGGCTAGTATTTGATCAATTTGATTTTCTAATCAATCACCAATCTAATCTAACCATTGATCTCTGTGTTTGTATGGTTACAGAATTTAAATTTACAGTAACTTTAAAGTTTTCCATAGAGTAATTTTCAAATTTAACTATGAATAGTTGAAAGAATCAATTTGATTTAATTTTTGCTGGACTTTTAAATTAAATGATCAACTATTTATTCCATATCAAAATAAATAAATTTATTATTTTAATTTTACCTTATATCAACAATAGTAATCATGATGAGTTTCAATCAATTGAAACACAATTCAAGTACTTGTGGTCTTTTTATTTGTATCAATTTAGTTTCAATTCAATAGTAACAATTAATTATCATCAAGCTCTAATACTCACTCATTATGGTTTCAATTATTTGTAATCAAAATCAGGGTAAACAGTATTTCACCTGTAAACCAGGTAACGGTCGATTGGTTAGGGCAAAAAGTATCCGTTCGTGGTATCAATGGAGCTAAATTATTACCTGATGATTGAATCTCTTTAAAATATGAGCATTTATTTTGTAGCATTTAATTGATCTAAAATCACGTTGATCTATTTGTCAATATTCACTATCTACATCAACAGTAATCAAATACTACGAATTGCACTTTGATTGAAATTTATCCTTTCATTCATATAACAATCAAACTGAATTTTATTTGCTGATAATTTACAGTTAACATGATTATAATTTATCCAATTCTGTAAATAAATTTCAATAATTTCAATTTTTATTACATAAAACTGTGATAATTAGCATCGATGGTACATATTTCTGTTTACTCAGGAGACTCATGGTATGAGCTACCTGCGAATGACCAAATATTGTTTTCTATCAACACGTCATAATAATTTCCACACATGTTTAAGGATACGGAACTACTATTTGACGGAAATAAACTCTATTTGAACTTGAATAAATATTTGATCAATTACTTGAAATGTTGAGTATGAAATAGAACTTTTTTCAGTTTCATCACAAAGTTTTAGAGCTATTGAACCAAGACAATGACAAAAGGTCCAGCAGGAAGAATTATTTATCAGCTGGAGAGCTTTCAATGATCATTGATTACCTAGTGGATGCTCGAGATACGGAAGTTGATCATAAATTGGACATTTTCCGATTTAAAGCTAAACTGTTTCGTGATCATTTCTAAACTTTTAGAGAACAAGAAAAGATTCTGTTAAGAGTCGATCCGACGAATTTTTTAGCCTCCGATAGACTCTTGAGAGATTAGATCAAAATTAATTTGGTAATTAATTATGAACTCAAAGGTATCCAATCAGATGATGTTAATAGGCTGTATCAATTTCGGTTACAGGGTTTTTGTAAGTGCCTTTTCCTTGTCACCAAATTTAAACTCAAAACACTATAAAGTTGACATTTACCAAGAAATTAACAGCGAAACAGTTAACTAAAGTTGATTTTATGGTTCCCTATTAAGTTAATTGTTGTAACATTTGAACAAATATAAATAATCATTTGATGTTTTTGTTTGACAATTGGCTTGCTCAGTTTCATAAAATTCACTCAATTCATGTTGGTTATTTTATCATTTACCAGAAATTTTGGGTATGAAAGGCGAACTTTCAAAAGTTAGATTATCAATTTACATAGGAATGATTTATCAGTTTGCTTCTTCATTTTCAATCATGAATTGGACAAGGCTTAATAACGATCTATTCATTTACGAAGTAGATCTGCTGAACTACCATAAACTACGGACGCCGACTTGAGAAGGTAGTTAAGCTTGTCCTAGACTCAGACTTAACCTAACCACAGGCAATGTGGCCAGATTTGGAACCATTTATATCACCAAATCATCAATTCTTGGTCAACATATTCCACAATTCATCAAGTACTAGTCCAGTATCAACAACAATTATTGTCCAAAAAGTAACATCAAGTGGTAAGTTTCGCAATTAATCGATGATTAATTATTTCGACTAATCAATTAACTTTATTATTTCATTATTTTCTCCAATCAGGTCTAGAGTTTCTCTACGATGTTCGAACTACTCTTTCAATCGTAAATTGCGATTTCGTTTGGAAGAATGGAAACTATGACGCTCTTCTAGCATCAGGAACAATTAATCGTGAAGATTTACTCTATTTATCTCTAATTGATGAAAGATTTGAATTAATCAGTGGCATCGGTGGCATCCCTTCTAAAGGGTAATTAGAATAAAAAAATTTCCATGAGAGACTGATAGACCTAAGAATAGAATGGTTAGAGTTTAGACGACAGAGCTTGAAGCTCTGAGCTTCATTCGTAAAGAAAATTAATCAATTGAATTGTTAGTTGATTGGTTTATTTGCTTACCTTTTCCATTTAGTTAGGCTTTTAGTTTGAACAAGAGGTGAAAATAATACCATCGATCTTAGTACTAATTGTTCAATATATTAATGAAAAGAAAACTTCAGAACTTACAGTATCAAACACAAATTAGTCGCTGGATAAATGCCCTAAAAGGATGCAATTACTGTTCAATTAATTTGTTACCTGCAAATGAGTAAATATTGGTGTTATTTCAAATATTATCTTATTAGAATAGAGGTACGTTTAATTAATTTAGGATACGGAAACACTTACTAACGGAAATTACCTTTATTTGCATTTGGATAAATGTTTGATCATCAACATTAACTATTTGTTGGTGATTAACATGATTAATTTTAAATTGTCTTACTCACATTTGTTACCTGTTCAGATTGAATTAAAAATATACAATTTTAATGTTCCCCAATCAATTGATTGATCATCCTTAAGATGTAAAGCAATTAAACTAAAAACATTGACCACAATTTGATTGCTGAATCACAATTTTAAATATTGGAATCAGTTATTACTAAATTAATATTATTATCATTGTGATTAAATTAAATTAAACACTTATTATATATGTTCAATGAACGATTAGAAAGTATCAAAGTTACTCAGATGATTAATTGTTTTGTAAAACTTGATTATCATTCATTTCAGGAGATTTCAATCCTAACCTTATACCACTGTTATTGTTAATCACTTTTCCTCGTCAGGGTTATACCGCAATTGGTTAATAAATTGTTTACTAATTGAGAAATTAAAATTTTTGGACGTTTGTTAATTGTGACTTTTAAGTCCACAATATAACCGATGGTTCTTGACGATGTTCTTGAGTCTCACATTGGACCATGTTACTATTTAGATCGACGACAAATACACTTTCCGATGATGTTATTGCTCCGATTGATGATATTCTGGAAACGGCCATTGATCTATGTGATCTAAATTGTTAACAATTAAGAGTAAAGTTTTTAGAAAATATTGTTAGACCAATAATGTCATAGAAAGTATCAAAAAAATTGAATAGTTTATTTCGATTAGTTTAATTACCCTTTAGAAGGACGACCGATACCACTGATTAATTCAACTCTTCCATCAATTAGAGATAAATAGAGTAAATCTTCACGATTAATTGTTCCTGATGCTAGAAGAGCGTCATAGTTTCCATTCTTCCAAACGAAATCGCAATTTACGATTGAAAGAGTAGTTCGAACATCGTAGAGAAACTCTAGACCTGATTGGAGAAAATAATGAAATAATAAAGTTAATTGATTAGTCGAAATAATTAATCATCGATTAATTGCGAAACTTACCACTTGATGTTACTTTTTGGACAATAATTGTTGTTGATACTGGACTAGTACTTGATGAATTGTGGAATATGTTGACCAAGAATTGGTTGAAAAGATTATAAATCAAAATGACCATCAATCGGTTGAAGATGGATAACATTATGATTTCGGCCTGATTGGGTTATTCGGATTATTTAGACAGTTTTCCTATTGTGTCGTTGTTGATCTCGAGAGATTGAATCCCAGCCAAAGTTTTCAGGTTCAGAATTAATAATTTTACCTCCGATTAAATCGTCTGAATAAAAACCAAATAGAAAATCAAATATCGATATAAACGTCAAATAATAATCATTTTTACCTGTTCCAGAATTAAGAATCCAAATGCGATCTTCAACTTCTCCTCGAACCAGCCAAAGATGATTAGGTCTTGGGTCAGTTCCAATAACATGGACAACGTTTAATTGTTGCGTATGGAAAACAATGATACGATTAAGATCTGGTTGACCAATATAAACCTTTGAATTGGAAATTATCGCATTTTCAGACCATTAAGTATCTTGAGCATCTATTTCATAAAGTAAACCTGAACATCCTCGGTGAAAACACTCACCCACTTCTATGGAAAATCCAAATCCAAATCCATATCGAACTTACGAAAGTCAATGAAAACTCATCATGAAAAATGTGCGATCTATCGGATTGATTAAACCAAATGAAAACTCGGTGAAAGCCACTGAAAAATGCTGTGTGAGTCACAAATGCTGTAAGTTGACATTTACCAATAAACTAACAGACGAACAATTAACTCATGTTGATTACATGGCTCCTTTTTAACCAATTGCTATAACATTTAAACAAATACAAATGAATTGTTAATTAAAAATTAACTTGTTTAGTTTGATAAAATTATTCAATGCATGGTGGATATTTGATCAGTTACCAGAAATTTTGAGTATAAAAAGTGAACTTTCAAACGTTGAATTATCAGTTCAATTCATTGTCATCTCTAGTAAATTGTTATCTTTGTATTTGATTGTTATACCGTGAAAGATAATCTATTAATAACAGTCGAAGTCGTCGTGAAAACCCAGTTACATTTTAAAGGACTTAACTCCAACTGCTTCACCAACGATGCCTACTCTAACATCTGATGGAGAAGGTCCAGTTCCGAACGCGTATATTGAAGGGCTAGAAAGTGTTTGGAAACTGGTACTGGTACTAAGGAGGTTGGTTGTATTGTCAAAGATGAAGTTACAACTCTACCTCCAACTCCAACAACTTAAGTCGGCATCCGTAGTTTACGGTAGTTCAGCAGATCTACTTCGTAAATGAATAGATCGTTATTAAACATTGTTACCTATCAAAACAAATGAACATTTGTCATTAATTGTAATTTCGCAAAATCGATTATAAAAATAAAAAAGACAATTGATAAATTATTTGATTGTATTTATTTCCCTTAAATCACGTACAACTGACAAAAACATTGAAAATTCTGTTTCAAGAGGATATTGGAAATTAACATTTCAACGCTCCAATTGATGATCAAGATAATGTTCAAGTATTATTCAACCGTAATCGATTTATTCCTTTCCAACAAAAATGAACTTTTTCTTCTGATTTTATTCTAAAAAATTATAAACTTGCGATCACTAATGAAAAAGAATTTTTGAATTTTGACTGATTGAGTTTATTTTACGCGCTTTTGAAGTTTCGAATTTCGCCCGTGAAACGGCCGACAGATGGAGTTATGGTGTTTCAATTGATTATCGGCCAAACTCGAGTCTGAGGTCTAAATACTCAAAAACGAAAAAAAGTAATTCAAGAAAACCTTACTGGAAACTTGGTGAAATGTCATAGAGTTAAGTTGAGGTCTCTAGATACTCTAAATTGTAATGTTGTTTTCTGTTTCTGATTGGCGAAGGCGGAGATATAATATCTCAGATATTTTGGTTTTGATATTTACGTTCATCTTTTGGCTCTTCTTCTGGGCTAAATTAAAAGTTTCTAAAAGTTTTAGCTCTTTTTAATCACGAGTCAAAAGCTCGTATACCTTGAAAAAAAGAATTTTAAATTTTGAACTGTTTCGTAAATTGTTCAACAGATGGAGGCAAATGACGACCATCGAGTTAAAACATCGACTTGAAATTGAGAATCAGCTTAAAATTGTCTGATTGTTTTTCGAATTTTTCTCATCCATTGTCATCTGATGGTGAAAAATAAATTATTTTGACTTTATCTCATCAATAAGAACAAATTTTCTTTCATTGCAAATGAATCATTTGTTTTGTTTTGTTGATTGTTAGGTTTTCCCGTTTGTTATTGTTACCGTATTTAGTCCGCCTTTTTTTCACCTTTTATCTTTAATTGTTAAATCCTTCATAGTAAACTTAGCTAAGTTTCTATCATTTATAAATTTGTAAGTGATTAAAGAGAATTTAATACAATCAAATAATTTATCAATTTACTCTTTTATTCATTATAATCGATTTTGAGAAGTTACATTTCGGTATAAGTGTAATGACAAATGTTCATTTGTTTTGGTAGGTAATCTTCTTGTTAGGATCATAAGGTGGTCGTAGATCAGGTTGTGGCTTCGAGAGCTCATCAAGTTCCGCTTGCTCTTTAGGACTCAAAGTAGTTGAAGGTGTACTGGGTGCGGAAGTACCTAAGCCAGTACCTGGAACATATTGGTATTCTCGACGAATTCGATGATCAGAAGAACCTGCACTTTTTCCAATCAACATGGAAACAGTTACAATCACCATGACGAAGATGAAACTTGAAAATTGGAAAACTTTCATTATTAGATTTTCTTTAACTCGATAACAATTAAATTAATAGATAACAATTCACTATTTTCTTCTTATATCACTGATAAATTTAAACTGATAATTTAACAGTGGAAAATTCACTTTTTATACTAAACTTTTCTGGTAAATGATCAAACATTTATCCAAGTGCAAATAAAGTTGATTTCCGTGAGTGAGTGTTTCCGTATCCTAAATTAATTAAACGTACCTCTATTCTAATGAGATAATATCTGAAATAACACCAATATTTAATCATTTGCAGGTAACAAATTAATTGAACAGTAGGTGCATCTTTGTAGGGCATTTATATAGTGACTTTCCCTATTCTCGAAATCTTTATATGAAGATTATGATATGGTTTGGTAAACTAACTACAGTAAAAACAATACATCAACCATAATAATCAATGGATAATTTTTTTCTTCGCTATCAAATGATTTGGGGTCAGAACAGCAAAAAGCAAAAAAGCAAAAGACAAAACAGCAAAGTCAAATAAGCAAAGGGCAAAATAGCAAAATTTAGTTATTAGATGTGATATACGATTTTCATTGAAACTCAAATTTTTATCTGCATTGAGTCAGAGAACAGAAAAAATATGACTTGGATTAGATCAGGCATGTGATAAGTGTCAAATTTGGTTTGATTGTCTTAGGCCCTCCGGGCCTTTTTTTCATTAATAGACCCGTTTACGAGTGACACCTAACCTAACCTAATCTAACAAAACAAAACAAACCAAATATTACGTTAATTAATTACATTAATCAGCTCAGTAACATGAATTTCGACTCAGCCGCTAATTTGTTATTATTATAAATTGTTCGATATAGTTTATCAATCTAATCGATTTAAATTTTGCTATTTTGCTGCTGTTTTGCCTTTACCACTTTTTTCTCCTGTTATTATCTTAATATCCACAGGATTTACTTAATAATTTCAAAGCCAATGGTTAACAATCAACTTATTGTGTTTCCGTCTAATCGGATATCCTTTTAATTGATAACAGAATTAAGTTTAACTTGATTAACTTTTTCGATTGATTTACTCATAGAAACATTTGCAATTTAACTGAATTACTTGTTTACTTGCTCTCTCTCTCTCTCTCTCTCTCTCTCTCTCTCTCTCTCTCTCTCTCTCTCTCTTAATCATCATCTCTTTATTATTATGAGAATATAATAATTTAAGATTAGTTTTTGGAAAAATTTTCTCACTCCTATTGTGTTTGTCCACTACTGGTCATCATACTCCTTTGGTATTAAATTACTAGAAGCCTTTTGGTTAACCTTTACTCCCGGAATGTTGGATAATTATGATTATATTAATTTGATAGCGAAGAAAAAAATTATCCATTGATTATTATGGTTGATGTATTGTTTTTACTGTAGTTAGTTTACCAAACCATATCATAATCTTCATATAAAGATTTCGAGAATAGGGAAAGTCACTATATAAATGCCCTACAAAGATGCACCTACTGTTCAATTAATTTGTTACCTGCAAATGATTAAATATTGGTGTTATTTCAGATATTATCTCATTAGAATAGAGGTACGTTTAATTAATTTAGGATACGGAAACACTCACTCACGGAAATCAACTTTATTTGCACTTGGATAAATGTTTGATCATTTACCAGAAAAGTTTAGTATAAAAAGTGAATTTTCCACTGTTAAATTATCAGTTTAAATTTATCAGTGATATAAGAAGAAAATAGTGAATTGTTATCTATTAATTTAATTGTTATCGAGTTAAAGAAAATCTAATAATGAAAGTTTTCCAATTTTCAAGTTTCATCTTCGTCATGGTGATTGTAACTGTTTCCATGTTGATTGGAAAAAGTGCAGGTTCTTCTGATCATCGAATTCGTCGAGAATACCAATATGTTCCAGGTACTGGCTTAGGTACTTCCGCACCCAGTACACCTTCAACTACTTTGAGTCCTAAAGAGCAAGCGGAACTTGATGAGCTCTCGAAGCCACAACCTGATCTACGACCACCTTATGATCCTAACAAGAAGATTACCTACCAAAACAAATGAACATTTGTCATTACACTTATACCGAAATGTAACTTCTCAAAATCGATTATAATGAATAAAAGAGTAAATTGATAAATTATTTGATTGTATTAAATTCTCTTTAATCACTTACAAATTTATAAATGATAGAAACTTAGCTAAGTTTACTATGAAGGATTTAACAATTAAAGATAAAAGGTGAAAAATCATAATTAATAAATAAATTATAATCAATCAAATGATTAGAGTGTCAAGTATTTGATTAAATGTTACAATTGGAAGGACCAAATTCCCAGCTAAATAGAAACAACCCAATTCATTTAATTGGTTCATTCAAAACATCTTATTTTCCCAATTCCATAAGAGACACTCCACTTGACACTGAGCTTTGAATTTCTATTCTAAAAATGATTTTTTCCTGAATTTTTGCTCATTGAGTTTATTTTACGCGCTTTTGAAGTTTAGAATTTAGCCCGTGAAACGGCCGACAGATGGAGCCAAATTTTCGTATTTTGTTCTTTTCCTCCATTTTAATTTTATCATTTTCTTTCTCTCAACCAAATGTTCATCTAAACAATAATATTAAAATTTTTTTCTTTTGTTGTTGTTTTTGTTGTTTTAATTTAATGAACAGTTAAATTAAATTCCACAAAATGGAGACTTTCATGTTAAATCCAATGAGGGTTGGAAGTGAATATCAGGCTGTTGTTCCAGAGGTTTCAACCGTTCTACCCAAACCTGCACCAGAATATGAGCCTGAACATGCCGTCCTTATCTGGTCTCCATCTAATGGTATTCCTCCTGAAAAGCTTGACGAGTTTATCCAAATTTGTCTTGAAAAGTATAATTACAAAATTGAACAAGCCTTAGGTATGTTATGTTGGCATAAATATAATCTTGAAACTGCACTTGCAGACCTACCAAATTTTACTCCCTTGCCTGATGACTGGTCGGTTGAAGATAAAGTGTTATTCGAGCAAGCATTTCAATTCCATGATAAACACTTCCACAAGATTAAACAAATGGTAAATTTTCATTTCCACCATTATTTTCACCAAACTTTCGAGTCTAATAGCTTTTTATTTCTCTTTCCTCTACTGGTGAACCTCATTCTCTTCACTCTCCTCTCCCCCCTCCTTCTGTCAATAATGTCAACATCCAACTTCTTACGCATCTTTTAGCTACCAGACAAGTCGATTGCCAATCTTGTTAAATATTATTATTCATGGAAGAAAACAAGGAGCAGAACTAGCCTTATGGACAGACAAGCTCGCCGGTTTATTGTTCAGAAAGAAGATGGAAGTGAAGCTGGTTCAGATGGTCTATCCGACAATGAAAATGAATCAATAAATGAGTTTAGTAACAATGGAGATACTAAAGATAATCCCGATGGTAAAACAAGATGCTCCAATTGTGCTACAACAGCTAGTGGACAGTTTCACAATACTTCAAAAGGTGTCTTATGTCGTTCATGTTATTCTTTCTGGAGACGAACTGGTCTAATGAAAAATATAACCACAAGGAAACAAGATCCTTCTGGATCAAGTCGACCCAATTTAATGAAAAGTAAACGTAAACCTCCTCGTGGTATGTCAATTAACATTGACGATTTGATGACAATTGTTAATGGTCCACCAGATCAGGGTGAAGCTTTCCTGAGATCACTGAGCAATGAAATTGTAAATTTAAAAAGAAATGTACAAAACTTAAAAGCGCATATTAGTCAAATCAAAACCAAAACTAATTCTGCTCATACATTAAAGAGACTTGATGTTTCGGTAAGTTATCCTACTTTTTTTCCAGTTCCAATTCTATTGATTACCGTTAACATCCTATTTAAACCTTCACTTGCTTCTTATCATAATCAATTTATTCAATATCATTTTTCGTTTTACTTTTTCTCCACTCAGCCATCCCAAAGAATTAACGCTCGATGGACCAATGAGGAAGCTCTATTAGCCGTTCAAGGAGTTCGAAAACACGGCAAAGATTTTAAAGCTATCGCTGAAATAGTTGGTAATAAAAGTGAAAGTCATGTTCGCAGTTTCTACACAAATAACGAACGTCGTTACAACCTGGCTTACATGCTAACGGAGTACGAAAATGAATTTCTTGGAACCAATTGATCTGATTGCCATATTTATTTTTGTCTCTCTTTTCTCACTCACATCTCACATTTTCATATCATCATTATTATTATTTTCTTTATTCTATATTCCTTTTTCCTTCCAATATTCTTCTCTCTCTCTCTATCTCTTCCCTTCTGCCAAATACTTTATATCTTCCCATTTCTTTCGTTGATTTCATAAAATACACTCACCACATACACACACTCACACCAAATTATGTAAACAAAGCAACAAAATTCATCATCATAAGCAAATGGAATCATGTTACGTTCATTGTTTTTTTCTCTCTCTCTCTCTCTCTCTCCATTGGAAATATCTGAGATGACCAACTACAGCAAAAATCCAATATGAAAAAAGATTAAAAAAAGATCACCCTGATAATCCAGATTCAAAAGCGAAACAAAAAAAAATTAAATTCTTAATATACAACGATTAACAAAATCTCAATTGATTTTCCATCGGGCAACTCAAACCAAAAGAATGAAAGAAATTAGATTGTTAATCTTGTCGAATGTAAAATTCTAATCACCTCCCAACCACCTTAACCATCATCTCTCTTTTTCTTCATCTTGATCATCATAAAAATAGTTCACAACCAGTAAAAGAAAGAGATGATAGATAAATAATCAGAGGAAAATTCTAATAATAGAATTTGAAAAAATTTCGAAAACTCAAAAACACTTAATTGTGTAAAGAGACTCAGAGGGAATGAGAGACTCGCCAAGAAAAAGTAAAATTTAGGTAACAAGTTTCCTCTTTCTCGTCTTTCAGTTGTAACAATTAACTAGACGAAGAAGATGTTTAAATCTGTTGTTATTCATACAATTAGAATTAAATTAACAACTTGTATTAGTGATTAACCATTAACCCAAACGATTAAGGTGTTTATAAGTCAATCAAGTTAACAGAAATTAACTATAAATAGAATAATTTTTATTAATCTTTTTCGCTTGCAAAAGGAAAAGTAATACAAGTGAGACAATCGTGATTGTGTGAATTAGTTAATTGTGAGCTGATCAAAATGTGGGCAGGAATACAAGATGTCTCTTCGGCCGCTTTGCTCAACATTAAGGATAACAATCAGCAAATGGGATCAGCAACAAGAAACGGAACTCTTCAAGCTCATCATCAAACGGTAAGAGTTTCATATAAGTTAATTGTTCTCTTGTGGATTAATTGTTTCCATCCCTTAATTAGACAGTTGATAAGCTTCCAGATAAAGTGCTCTTGAAGATCTTCTCGTACCTTCCCCATCGGGAAATCGCTCGAATCGGTCGAGTGTGTAAAAAATGGCGAATCATTTCGTGCGATTCAAGGCTCTGGTCTCATGTTTCTCTGAGACCGGAAATCTCTGGTCTCCATGTAAACTCAATGGAAGCTCTTCTTGCTTTGATTTCCATTCGATTTGGTAAACAATTTATCTTCTTTAATTGTCCTTAATCATCTTTCTTTCATCTCTTAATTGGTCATATTCTTGATTTGTTTACATTTTCTTTCTCCAATCAAACTTGTTACTTTTTCTCTCCTTAATCACTTCCCAGGAATCAATTGTTTATTTTGTAACTTTTGCTTAATTATCGTGATAATTAAGTCAATTGTTATTGTAATTGTTTTCCAAACTAATGAGAGTTGATTGTCCATTTTAATTACCAATGTAATTACTTTTCAATTGTTTACCAACAAGATTCCCAATGGCAATATTTTCATTTGAAGTTCAATCAATCAGGATAAAAGTTTTCTAAAACTAATTCCTTGGGATTAAGGTAGTAAATTGTTAATCCTTTTAAGGTAAATCAGGTTTTAATTTTTTCCCATGATTTTCAATTGATACTTACAATGTTTTAAATCTTAATTGTGAGGATTAAGCTTAATTTTCACTTGTTGTTAATCTCAAACAATTGAGTGAAAAAGTAAATTGTTGTCAAGGAAAAACTTAACTTTCTTTTTTAATTGAGTGTTAATCAAGTGTTAAAATCCAATGTAAATTGATCTTTGATTAGTTTTGCTTCTTGCATTTTCTGCAATTCGATTAGCCAAACAAATCTTATCGATTATGATAATAAGTTTCTAATTGTTTTCCTCTTGAAATCTTTTCTAGGTCCATCTTTAAAGTACATTGAATTACCCATGGAGTTAATTACTCACACGGTTCTCCATGAATTGGCCAACAAATGTCCCAATTTAACTCACATGTTATTAGATTTTTCAACTGCTATGCAATTGCATGATTTCAATGATCTTCACTCATTTCCAACTAAATTGAAGACAATGTGTATCTGTTTGTCGGAGGTCATTTTCATGGAGGGTTTTATGAGAAAGATTTACAATTTCATCAATGGACTTGAAGTGTTACACTTGATTGGTACTTACGAGAAGGCAGTTGAAGAGGAGGAAGAGGAAATTTACGAAGTGATCAACATCCACAAATTGAAAAGCGCTGTACCCAATTTACGAATTGTCAATTTGTATGGAATCAATTTCGTTGATGATTCTCACGTTGAAGCTTTCAGTTCCAATTGTATTCAATTGGAGTGTCTTTCTCTTAATTTTTGTACCAAATTTACCGGATCAGTTTTGAAGCTTTTACTTCAACGATGTAAAAGGTTACAATGTCTTCTGATGCAACACACAGGTAAATCAATCTAAGAGAGTACTGATCATAATGAGAGTTAATTGTTTGGCTAAATTGTCAATTTGATATTAGGTTTGAAAAATGAACACGTTAAAGCCGTTGAATGGGAAAAAACAAATCTCCAAGAATTGGATATAACTGCTTGTGAATTATCAACTGATTGTTTGATTGATGTGTTGTCCAGAATTCAGGGTCTTCGCTATTTGGGCGCTGGACAACAAGATGGTTTCAATGACCTTGTTTTAGGTCAAATGATGGAAAGAGGAACAACTAAAAATTTGATCGCATTCGATGTTGATGGAAATACCAATTTATCGGAAGAGATATTACTTCAGTTCCTTAAGATTCAAGGTCAATATTTACGTGGACTCCAATTATCTGGGATTCCTCATCTAACTGAACAGTTCTGGACAACGGTCACTCCTTTAATCAAGAACATAAAGTATTAATTTATTGTTGAAATTTTCTTTTAATTTTTCGTTCAGCTGATGATTTACTTTGCTACCTTTTTTCTGTTTCGTTTTCTCCAGGATTCTGGTCATGGGAATGCCCGAAGGTTGTTGTCAAAAAGTACAATCAAAGGTCCACATTGATTCACTGATCGACGGGATCGCTAACAACTGTCCTAATCTGGAAAGGTACGAGGCCCGTTGGGACGCGGAGACGCTTAGGTTTTCAGATCGATCAAGCAAAGCGGTTGATGCGATTCGTTTGAAATGTCCTCGACTTCGGTGTTTGGTTCTAAGTGATGGAACTTATTTTGAACTAGTCAAGTCTAATTTTGAACGAGCCGATAGACCGACGGTTGTCCGATCGACTGTTAATTGTCGAGTTACTTGTGTTTATCTTCTTAATTATTATAAACAAATTATCTTCAATTGATTTACATGTACCCGAGATTGTAATTGTTAAGACAAAAATGGAGACATTAAATTTAAACACTAAGTGCAAGTTTTATTTTCAGTTTATAGTCACGGGATTTACAAGGGGATTAAGGGGATGAGAAAATTTGACAGTGGGTGTGGTAGTTGATTAAAGATGATGATTGGAGATTGTGACAGTTTCTTTTTCTTTTTTCATGTCTTCTTATTGTTGTTGCGTCATTTTTGTTTTCTTTTAGTTGTTGTTATGAAATACATTAGGCCCAATGGAACATTGTTTTTCTTGGTAGAAGTGGTCAAGAGATTTGTATTTATACATCAATTGCTGGTGGATTGGGACGGGGACAGTTGGACAAATTATCATTGATTCTTGGGATGGACAAGGATTATTGCCGATCATTTGCCGCATCTTTTTGTTTGCGTCAGTTGAACGCAGACAAAGGGATGGAAATAAAAGAAAGAAGAAAAAAACAAGCAATATTATATATCAATCAGAGATAATTAATTAAACACGGCAATAGAAAAGGTTCGAGGTGAGGGAAGAAATAAAAATGTCCAGCAAATGGTAAATTGGGGCTTTTCAATTGTTGCTTTTTGGGTTCTAAAGATGTTGATGTTGTTGTCGATGAAAATGATGATGAAGATGAGGATGAGGATGATGATGATGATGATGGTGGTGGTGGTGGTGATACTGGATAAAATGAGAAATGACAGATGATTATGCAAATGAGAATATTTTTCCATGATAATGAGGATGATAAATATGAGGATGAAGATGCTGATCGAGACATAATGTTAGTTAACAATTGGATTAGTTGACGATTGGTCCTTATCTTCAATCTAACAATTGATCAACACATCATTAATGTCCGATGTTCATTAAATTTGATATTGGATGGTCAGAATATAATAATAATGGTGTCATGCTTTTGGAGAGTAATAAGAAGAGGGCAGAGAGAAAGAGGAAATGATGAGGATGATTATGATTATGATCATGTGGTGAGAGAGCGATTTACAACAGCAGCGATGATCGAAATGGAGATAATGTTACAACTTAAAAAAGGTCGAGTTAAGAACTTTCAGTAGAATTGAATTTAACATAATTAGGCAAAAAGGTTTGAAAGAATCAATTTTTCATCTTTTCTTAGCAAAAAGACTGTACAAATGAAACATTATCTATCTTTCGTTTCTTTTGCTTCAGATTATTTCGCAAATGTCCAATATAACAGATGATTTAAATATGAATGAGATTACAGGTTGGGATGTGTTATGGTTAAGAGATGCAATCAAATGGTCGATCCTGAAACACTAAGATAAAAATTGTTATGAACAAGAGGAAAGGGCAAAGATAAACGATGATTAAGTTGATTTTGGTTTTTGAGCAGCTCTGGTTGTTTACCCAAGTAATAATAATAATATTCGAGTTCACTAGCAATTAGTTAATTGTTAAACAAGTTAAAGTTGTCGAGAGGAGATTAAGATATTGTCCAGCCTTTTAAATGCTGAATTCGCCTTCAATGGTAATCATGATGATCAGAGAGTCGATAAAAAAAGCATTTGTTGCTCACAATGAAAATTATCACAGATTTTTGTTTACAAATTATCACCTCCGTTTGTTAATCTAATCAAATATCTGGAAGCTTTTGCTTTCACTTTTTCCCTTTATTCACAGTCGGTGGTGATTTCATGCTCGACGCCGAAGATGTTGACCGCCGTTGTTTCCCTCTTCTATTGGCACCATCGTGATCTGCTCCCGAGTCCATGTCGGTGTCAGTGTCAAGGTTTTCATGCATATCTTCAAGTTCCCCGTTCAAATCATCTTCATCGTCTTCTTGTCCCATCAGAGATTTCAGACTTTCGTCATCAGAGTCTCCGAGACCCGAGACTCCGCTCATGGAGGGAGCCATTGACGATCCGCCGGTGGGCACATTAGGTGTTGATATGCTGGATGATGAAGTGGATGCAGTGGGTAAAGGGAGGAGGTGGACTCTTCATGGACAACGAGGGTGATGCAGAAGCTTTTGAGTGTTTGGATGACGACGATGAAGGTGCTTTTACATTGGCTGATGAGTTTGAACTGTTTTTAGATCTGGAGTGGCCGGAAGAAGAGGATGTCCCGCTTTTGGAAGCATGTGATGAAGAGGTTGAAGCAGATGTTGTTGTTGAGGTAGATGCGGTTGTGCCTAATCCTGGCATGTTACCTAATCCGTTCATAAGTCCTGATTGCGCCGCTAAAGATGCGAAATGAGGGGAACTCATTGGGATGTTCCCGAGTCCGAGGGAATTGTAATATGGAAAGAGGTAGGGAAATGATCGATACGCATTGGATAAATCATTCAAATTCAAACTCGGATTTAGTCCCAAGTTTGCATTCGGATTTTGGCTCTGACTTTGGTTCTGATTCTGATTTTTGGAACTTGAGCTTTTACTACTTTTATGACTGCTACTTGATTTCTCGGAGCCACCGCCACTTTTACCCTTCTCTTGACTGCTCGATCCTCGGTCCGACTTTTTACCTTCATTTCCCCCAAAGTCACCAATGGACATCGGATTGAAACCAGATCCCAAACCAGGGAAATTGAGACCGGAAAGACCAAGTAATGAACTCGTTAGTCCCATGTTTGAAAGTCCAGGGTATGGGAAAAGCATTTGCGATGCATTGGCAGCTGAACTGGTGGAAGATGTTGCGGTCGATGAAGTTGAGACACTGTTATTATTACGGGAACTTGAGGAAGATTGACTCGGATTAGTTGCCGCTGCGGCTGCCGACATGTAACTATTTGGATCCATCAACAACTTTTGGAAAGCATAGCTGTTTAGTAAATTAGGGTTGATATTAAATGGAGCTAATGATGAAGGCGGGAATCCAAAACTAGAACTAGTTGATGGTGTATTTGTTGATGATGCAGATGCAGAACTTGATGCTGCTTGATTGGCCAATAGAGAGGCGGCTGTTGCTCTTCGTGGACTAACACCCGAATCACTGTGTTTAGATCTACTACTTTCTCCAGCCTTTCGGTCACTTGTTCGTGTTCGAATTGTTGGAGGAGGTGGATCTCTAGGTGCTTGTTGTGAAGACTGAAAGATAATTCAAATTGCACATGAAAATTTAGTAAAATTGAGATAAATCAACAAAAGGGATGAGTAAAAGTGACTTACCATTGCTTTGAGAGCTGGAAGGTTTTCTCTGAGTAGAGCGGCCCATTTAGGGTCCATTTCGTACATTGGATTCTTTTTTAGGAAAACAGGTAATTCTTTTAGTGTTGGAGCTTTTGATCCAGTGAGCTGAAGAAAAATAAACGATATTTGTTAGATACAAAGTCAATGATAAAAGATAAAAATACGAAAATAAAATCGAAAAATATCTTACCTTCTTTCCGTTTAATTTATTTATCAATGGTATATGTTCATCTCCAGTTAAGTTTTGTAAGTTTGGTAAGGATGAAGAATGAGATGATGGAGGTGGTGGTTGTGGAAGAGATTGTACTTTGGGTTGAGAAGGAGCTTCGGTCTTGGAGCGACGAGAGCTTCGTTTTTTACTATCGGGTAACTCTAATAATTGAGTCTATGGAAAAATAAAGTCAAATGATAATTAGTTAGTGCGAATAAAATATTAAAATGAGAAAGATTTAAAGCAATAGAAATTGACTTACATTTGCTGATAATGGTGAAGGTCCAACTAAATCTAAAAGTGCTGCTGCAGGAGCAAATGCTGGATTGGACATTAATTCAGGATGATCAACAAGGAATTTCTTCAATTGCTGAGTTGTATCATTATTGAAACTTTTATCCATTTTGGATGACATTCCCTTTCCTAAATTACCAGCGATATCAGCTGATACTGATTGTTGGTGGTGATGTTGACGAGAAGATGAAGAGGAAGATGAAGACGATTCTCTATGTCCAGAACGAGGGGGATTGACTTTCGGTGGTGGGAAGTTTGTCTTTTCTGGAGGTTTCATTGATAAGTCTCGAGTAAGAGATGCAGATAAAGCTGATGATGATCGAGATGAGGAATGAGCGGCGGGTGGAGTTCGAGTTCGATCTTTTGGTGTAGATGATCGAGTTTCTACTTTATCCAATTCAGATCTTGCCCTCATGTCCCGAGGTGATGGTGTTGTTGGTTTACTCTCAGGCACAGGATCATCTTGTTTCTCTTGCATCATTTTCTTTCTTTGTAATAAATTATTAGCAAGATCATCAATTCGTCTTCCAGTACGTTTACCTGTTTGTCCCTTTTTACCGAAAGTGGGTGATGTTAAACATGGATCATCATCTTTACAATCTTTCTTTACTGGACCACTAAGGTCAAGTACCGATGAAAGAGACACTGGTGTTGATGATCGTTTAACAACCTTATCAGGAGCTGCTAAAGGTTTAGATCCTGGACTCATGTGTTGCATTCCAGGAACAGGCTTAGTGAATCGCAGGTCAACGGTGTCCAGATTTGGTATTCGTTTGGTGTTGGAAACTGAGTGAGCAGGGAGGAGCTCCCAAAGATTTGCTCGAAGACGATTTATTTGGAAGATCGGAAATGGGTGGTGCAAGAGGTGTTTTAATCGATGATGATGAAGCGAATGGATGAACTACAGTTGGAAGATGATGGTGAGAATGTGAGTGAGAGTGAGAGTGAGAATGAGATTTACTTCGACCCTCTGAACCATGAGATCGATTCATCAAAGAGATGAACCTTTATCCTCATTAACAAGTTCATTTCGGAAGTTTTGAAGTGACATTGAAAACAATGGTGGCAACAGAGGAGGAGTATTGATCATGGAGCTCATATTGGGAGTCATGTTTTTCTTTGAGGATTGAATATTATTGTCCGATTGTTGTAGTAAATTTCTTAGTTTAGCTCTTTCCGGATGTTCCATTTCATAGCGACCTCTTCGTCGTCTACCTCGAGATCGAAGTCGCCCTCCGGCATCAATCATACCAGAAGCATTAGCGACATCAAACATAAATGGATCAGGTGAAGGTGAAACTGACTCATGTCGAGGTGTATTGTCGGGTGTTTGTTGTGGAGTTGCCTCTCTACTCATACTGGAAATGCTCACAGGAGATGCCGCT